GAGTACACACAGCGAATACACACTCCGCTTGCAGTTGTACATATGTGGGGAACATATGTAGTGATCTGTCTCACTACTCTGCTCAGTTCTTTGCCCACGATGAGGCTTTCTCGCCCCCACTACTTCAGTCATTTTTCTTCTGGCATCAGATCTGTCTTCTTCTGGCATACGGCCAGTTTTATTGAGCAATGCTTTACTGGCAATGCTTGGGCTTTCTCTTTTTCAAAATGTAAATGTGTCACAGCAGTTTCACACTAAGACTTGTCACATAGAGGTCGTAGTCGCAATGTCTATTGGCTCGTTTCCCGTATTGGAGTACACAACATCAAATAAGAGGTGGCTTACTGGAAGGATATGTTGATGAACTAAAAGCAGAAGGCTCTCATGTTATTTATGGGATCTATCGTCTATTGTCAACGGTCCGTACTTTGTTCTGCACTCTAGTGAGGATGTGCGTAGTGTCCTTTGCAGAGCACTGACATGTAGCTTTACCTTTTAAAAACATCATTAATCCTGTGAAATGGTGAATGTGGACATGTGTGTGTTTTCACAGGGCCCACAGTCGCAAAACCGCAGCCCTGCAAATAAGTACTGTAGTGCGCGTGTTCGTAACAATTAAAAAGCTTAACCATCGGTCTCACATTTTGTCATCCCCTCGCACAAGAGATGCACTGTGTGTGGAAAGCCGAGTACAAGTGGAAGGGGAAGTAGCGTAAATAGGAAGCTCTCAAGGGTCATCTTTGTTGTTTTGGCAGACTGTTTGTGGGGGAGGCATTAAGGGGGGTGGTTTTGGGGGGTGTTTGCTTTGCAGAATTGCAGAGACACAAACTCAGACAACCGGATGCGACTACTTCCACTCTTGTCATGTGATCACCTTTGTGGTCGCGAAGGAAGCCGTGCTGTATGTTAACACCATCGATTAATTGTTGAATTTAAAATCATCCGTATTCTTGAGAATTCCAGCTTCTCAAGTGTAAATATTCTCCAATTTCTGTAGTCGTCCATGAAAGCAGACTGATTGTCTTGGTGATTAATGAGAATAAAACATTAGAATTGATTCTGGAAAACAGGTATCAAATTTTTTGCCAGTTTTTCTGACATTACACATCAAACCAGTCACTGAATTATGATACTTTTTTTTTTATTTTCTGCACCTTCAATTTGAAATACCGTTCTCTTTTTTTAATAAGAGAATGGAAATTAAAACAAATTTTTAAATCTGATAAATCGACCAAATATACGCAGTATGTTTACAATATACATGTCTAGTGGCTAGTTTACACTTCAAATCTTTGCTTTAATATCACTTGTTCTGCCTCAAAACCAAAGTTTGCTGAAATATTTTGCAATTCAGAGTAATGAAAATTAAATCTATTATTATTATGAATATTAGTTTTAACAAAATCCGCTCTTGGGGCAAAGAGAATACTGATGTTGATTATATTATGACCACAAATGTTCCACAGTGTTTTGGTTTTTCAGAAAAAACAATAAATTGCCACATTTTTTCCACTGAGAGCTCTCCAAAAAAAACTTATTACAGTCTTTTAACACTATCTTGTATCATTCTAGCCAACTGATGACTATTACGTACCTAACAAAGAGTACAAGTAAAAATTGGAATGCTTCTACTCTTCCTGAAATCCATCCAGTCGAACATTGAGGTGAACATCATCTGAACTGTATGAAGGCATCTACACGCTCAGAAAAGGTTTCAACCCCAAGTGCTACATTCCTTCGTGTGCATGTACTGTGTGTGGCCTCCCCATAGCGACCAGACAAATTGTCCGTATTGCCATTTATATCACAGTTACATAACTGAGGCGCAGGTAGTCTTCATTTCTTTGAATGGCGGGTGTCCATGTGACTTGAGGCCAGCTCTCCGAACAGATATGATCCATGAGTAGCTGTCTAATACATAGAGTATGGAACGGTACATCAACCCTGTTGAATTCTGCCACCCGCGAAACCCAATGTATTTATTTATTGCCCAATGTGAGGCATATCTGATTTTTTTTCCATGTCAATGTCAACATTACGATTAAAAAAAAAAATTCCAAGTCTGTCACAGGCCTCTTTGATATGCGTATAGCAAACAGATATGTATCTGGTGCGACTGCAGTTAGGACGCTCAGATCGCACTTAGCTGACCGACACATCATCAAAATTGAACAAAACAGAAAAGCAGGGAGCAGAAAACAGTCAATGTCGAAAAGATGCCTTGGAGCTCATGGACATATTCAATTCAAGCATAAAGTCTGTGAAATTGCCACAAATGAGTCAGGACTGAGAACCTATGCAAGGCACAATCGCGACTTTTATTCCTTCCACAATCGCCCTGCTCGACTGTACTTATTTGTACATGAAAATATCCATTTATTTTGAATTGAAGAATGCGAATGAGAGCTTGCTGAAGATGTTGTTTATATCTGCTATGTTACCTTTGTTTGTAATGCTGGTGTCACATTACGACATGTCAGCATTGTGCACATACTGTCCTGAGTGTGGACTGGCATGCATTATAACTTGGGGATATAGGTCAGCCAAAACTGACCACAGAGTGAGAGACCAGCTGGAGCCCAGATGATGGGACCTGACCAAAGGAAGGCAACTGATGTGTGTGGTGGACATCTGATACTTCAGTGACTGTATGTATTCTTACTCATTTTAGATGTCAGCTGTTTTTCTGTCACCACCGTGATGAAGTCAGTTTGATAACCTCGTGATCAGTTAATCCTTAGCTGTGAAAACCTTTTGCTCAATGAATTCTTATCTTCAGAAAAAAAAATGCTGAAAAATGAACTCAATTTTGACAGATGATGGAGGATCTGATTTAAATGGGATACATTTGCTGCAACAGTGCAAACTCTGCAGAAAACCGGATGAAAAACGATCTATTTTGTACTGATGAGAAATGTGAGACATCTGCTGCGGATTGAAGACAGAAGTGTATTGGACTATGGGGCAGATGTTTTGTCTTCAGGCCAACACCTTCTCAATAAGTTTTGACAGCCCATTTAGAGAGTGCTTCATTCTTATCCGGTCAACTCTGCCAGAATGTCCGTACTTTACTTAAGTGTCTTAAGCGTCTGTCTCATCCCGGAAATCTATTTGGACTTTATCCCACTAGAGTTTCTTGCTCTTGTCATTATGTGGTCCAAGGAAATGTGCTGCAGGAAGCGGAAGTCCATTATTTTATGTCAAAAAAGTGCAAGTCTGAAAATGTGACATTTAGTCAGGCAGTGGTAATGTTTTTTTTCCCCTTTTAAATTATTTTGAAGGATGAATACAAAATAGGGTGGTATCACAACTGATGGTGTGAAACAGATCCCTTATCAGTTTTTACGTGTCCCTGAAAGAGCAACAGAAGCTTATATTGATAGATACCCGATGCGTGTGTGTCTCTCTCTCTCTCTCTCTCTCTCTCTCTCTCTTGCATCACACACACCACTTCTGTGTGAGAGGAAATGGGGCAATTAAGGACAGCTTGCTACGACTCTGCATGGGGCTAATATGTGTCTCCATAATTAAAAATGAATTACTCTTTTCCTTTATAAATATTCAAGTCCCCATTGCACCGTGTATGTACCGTTGCCTTGCTATGGTACGTAGGCTAGTTCACCCTCCCCCCGCCCCCATCTGCACAACATCTGGTGCAGCATTTCCTGAAGCATCACCAGAATAAATTGAGTTTTGTTGGAGATGGACACGCATGACTTGAAGTTACGGATGTTGTCGTCAACTCGAACCGGCCTTTTGGCAAATGCATTGCTGCTGTTTACAAAACCACTGAAACAGTGGACTGAGTCAAACAAAGAATCTACTATAGTCAGATGCAACCATGTTTTTCACTTTTCCACTGCCTAGTACCTACTCAGTATGGCACAACTCCACTCGCTATCGATGCTTTTCACTGGCAGAAATGGACAAGCGATGTAATTGAACTTTGTTGTCCCAACAACACACTGTTTTTCGAATGCCGTCTATAGAGTGCAGCAAACTGCTATCCAGTGTTCCTCAGCTATTCAGATATTTAATTTATTTTAGTTTTGTTCATGTGGTGATATATAATTTTGCAAATCAATAATCAACAGAAAGTCTTACAAATAGGAACCTCGCCCTGCTATGAATCGTGAAAATCTGACACTCTGTAATTGACACAACCAAAGTTCAAATCCTCAACTCAGTTCATCACAGTTTGTTGGTACCGATATGGTGCTTAAGCAATACTTTTGTCCATATGAAGCTCCTCAGTTCACCTCGACTTAGTTCCCTGGCACCATGATGCCGCAAGATGGTGCCAAAGTAGTAATTTAATTACTTTGGCCCAAGAACAAAAACATTGACTCGATGATAACAAATGAGTGCATTGGGGAATGCCGATACAGAACATAGAAACAGTGATTATGCGAGCGGAACAGTGCAAACAAATATGAAGCTGCTGGTTTTGGGCCAACGCTGTCAATATACAGCATTGTCTAAGCCGCGGGGGTTGAATAAAGCTGGGGTGGGGGGTGAGTTTTGACTTATAAGTTTGAGCTTTACAGAATATAATTTTTATGAACAGCGCCCCCTCTGCGAACTCAACAAAACTTCTCTTTGTCCATTGTGCGTAGTGTCGGCCAAGCAGTTAGACATTTCAAATATTCGAAGGGCCAGCGACGTGACTTTTCTGTGAAGGAGACACACGGACAGAGCTAAGGGTCCTGACTTGGACTCAAAACCATTTGTGCTGCAGCTGACCTACAGTAAAAGAAAGGTGGTGACAAGATGGTCATTTGGAACACCAGAACAGCATAGTAATGACCACATCGCAGGAAAGGGTTGCACCAAGGAGAATTCAAAGAAAAAAAAGCGAGAACACAATTCCTTCATGCTTCAAATTACTGCAAAAACATTTGCACACTCAGAAACGAAATACCGCACATCGTTGTGCTTGCCCAGTTTTTTCTAAAGTATTTTGTCATATTCTCTAATTTTGACATTTTCTGTCATCCCAGGAGAATACATCAAGACCTGGAGGCCAAGGTATTTTCTTCTGAAGAGTGATGGTACATTCATTGGCTATAAAGAGCGACCTCAAGATGTCGACCAGTTGGAAACTCCCTTAAATAACTTCTCCGTCGCACGTGAGTATTTACTTTCAAAGAAACCACTGCATCCAACCCCTTCCCAAATTCCTGGCAGCTTGTTTTCTCCATACTTGCGCTGTTGTAACAGTTCAGTATGTTCACAAAATTTTCAATTACAGCAGATGTCTCTCTTGCTTGAAAGAGTGATTTTATTCGGAACTGACTTTAAATATCTAAATGGACTATAGGATTGCGGTATAAAAAAATGACTTGTGTATTTGTCTTTACAGTGTTTACATTTTTTTATTAGACCACCTGTCGGAACAAAAAAAGGAGGCAATCCAGCATCATTAATTGCTTTAACAGGGAATTTCACAATTTCAGTCAGCTCTCAATGTTTATCATTTTTGAAGAAATTTCAAACTGAATTCCCTCACCCCAAATTGATCTTCTGTTCAAGAATGCAAATCAAAACCTACCATTTGAATCTGAATAAAAATAAATAAAGACATAAATAAAAAATAACTTATTTTGAAAGTACGTGATAGAATTAAAAATATGTTTGTAAAAGACCTTCATGCTGGTGTATTAACTTCGGATGTTTGAAACCACTTTTTTCAGACTTCTACAAGTGCGAGTACCAGTGAGTCTTGAGTACTCACCAATCCAGACTACCGATATGTTAGTATTCTTTATCCATAAAAGTTCAGTTAGCGCAATGGTAAATAATTGTTGACGAAGATGTTTCTTTCCTTCTTCATGGCGATTCACCAATTTGTCAAACCGCCGCAATGTTGCTCCAACCACTGGCGGGGAGGACTCAGTCAATATCAGATTATTTTTGTTTTTGTGTCTTAACTCATTCAGTGGCATTTTAGGGCATTTTAACTTTTTCAAGACCCAGGAAGTTCAGTTTTTTTTTTTTTTTTTTAATCAGTGGATTAAGGCCAGTCCTTGCCCCTCCCATCCCCATTGAAAAATGTGATGAACAGTAATACTTGGCGTTGTCAGCGATTTAAGTTTGGTGGCCGGTATTCTCCGCCTTCATGAGCACCTGATATTTTGAAATATTGGCCTGATCCGATACCTAGGATGGGTACTCAGCCATCCCTCGTATTAGCTATTGCAGAAAGTTACTACATTTATTTGGGTTCTTACCAATGTCTGCTAATTAGGGGTAGCTGTGGCACAAACATTAAATTGGGTGGTGGTGTAATACGTTTGGTAAGCACTGTTAAACTGAAATGGTTTCGAAATATTAGCAAATGAGTTTCACTCTGTCTTGTATCTTAATTTTGCTTCAAACTTGTTTTCTTGGCTGCTGGCATTAATAAATTTCCTCTATGCATCTTCTCCGGTATTGTGCACACATGTAGAAACGCCGAAAGCTTCCCAGGAAAATCCATCTTCAAAAAGTTGCTGTGTTCAATTCAGTCTTCCAATGACTGAACTCTGCAATTAGACAGCCCACTGTTCGTTGAAATGTTTCCTCTCAGACGCTTTTGAGTTATTGTGGCTATTAGCCGCCTGACTTCTATAAATCTGCTCTGAGGCGCTGCCGCCATCAGCGGTCGCTTTGCTTTTCTGAGACCACGGCGCAGAGGACACGTGGCGCGTCGCTGCCGACGAGGGCGCGGCAGCTGGATTGTGTTCCAACCCTCACAGAGCCATGTTGGGTCTCAGTGGTGGTCCACTCTGCTGTCCTCCATCCATCAGATTGAGGGTATTTTGTGTCGTATTCCAACACATGCTGACATTTTTCATTTGGCAGCAGATGTTAACGCAAAAGAGGATCAGAAGGAAATCTCTGCTCCCTGAATGCACCTATTATTGGATTATTAAAACATGAATACATTTTACCAAAGACACGGCAAAGAACATTATTACCATATTTTTTGGAATATAAATCACACTTTTTGTTTCATACTTTGGCTGGTGCTGCGATTAATAGGCAGGCACAACTTGTCTAAATTACTGTAAAATCAGAGCTCAAACTGGCACGCAAAATCCCCATTCAATAATTATGTTGGCTTCCTTTTGGCGGTTGGCAAACACTTTTTGTGTATTGCGGCCGGTGGCCAGAAGGTGGTAGTACGGCACCTAAAGTATTTGCCAACGCCAAAAGAAAGTATAAGAAAAACAACAAAAGAACAACAACAAACACCACTCTCGCACCCCCCTCCCTCTCATTAATTTCGTTGTTATTTGGTTTCACATCAACAGTCAGTCAACAATATTAATTTTAAAAAAAAATGCTCTTTTGAAACGCCAACAAATCTGAGGTCGGCCAGCTTTCCGTAAGGAATTGTTCAACTCTCACTTTATTGTTTAAGTATGGTAGTAGTGTTTTTCTCTACCTGAGTACTGTTACTTTCCAAATTAGATAACAGTGTGGGGTTTTTTTTTTTTGGTGGAGATAAAGATAAATGGCTATAACTGTGGATCTTTCTCTTCCCTTTGCTCCCCTTCTCTTCGTCTCCCCTTTCCAACTGCTGCCTCATTTTATGGCCAGAATGCCAGCTGATGAAGACAGAACGACCTAAGCCCAATACATTTATCATCCGATGCCTGCAGTGGACCACTGTCATCGAGCGCACCTTCCATGTTGACACCCCCGAGGAGAGGCAAGTGAGAAACATGGCATTTTCGGCTCACAGAGAAGCAAAAGACAAATTGTGTACATGCAGGGTACACGTCCCTGTTGCTTACTTGGAAGCATCGAAATAAGAATATGAATATTATGTTAAAGCATTAGTTTATTTAAACTTGCAGAGAATGATGAACAAGTGGGGTCACTTTTGTTTGAGACACTCAGATTATTTTGAAGCAGCCTTCAAGCGCTCTGTGGTCCATGTCCACTTGTGCTGGAATAGCACGCTGCAGTGTACTTAGTTTAAAAAAAAAAAAAAAAATACACTCTCTATCGAAACTATAATATTTTACTTTTTTTAAGTTAAGATTTCTCATAAGAATATGAATATTATGTTAACGCATTAGTTTATTTAAACTTGCAGAGGAGAATGATGAACAAGTGGGGTGACTTTTGTTTGAGAGACTCAGATTATTTTGAAGCAGCCTTCAAGCGCTCTGTGGTCCATGTCCACCTGTGCTGCAATAGCACGCTGCAGTGTCCTCTGTAAAATAAGAACAATATTTCTTAAACTACCAATCTCAACTATATTATTTTAGTTTTTGTAACTTTATTGGTTGAGTGTTTTTTGGGACTATCATCTTGAATATACAGTACCTCTTCTTTTCTGCTGCTTTGCGAATGGCCGGCACCTCACGTCTTTTTAATGTGTCAAGCCTAGAATTGGTTGATGGCTGTCTCACAAGGGAGGCAGCCTGTGCCCGTTGTGATTTTAGGACCGTAATTCCGTAAATCCTCCTACCGGGAGTTGTGGACAGTAGTTAAAACTCGGATGTAGCCCGATGCTGTGATCTTCTTTAGACTTGAAACAAACGAAGCCTGATTGAACATCACCACTGTATGTGGGAGACAAGTAGTGCGCTCCATTTTATCTCAAGATGTGATCAGTTAGCAACAGTCCGTTTCCCCGCAGTCAATGGATTCGTTGACGAGCCATCAGTCGAGCGTGCTCTCAGTGAAATTATCGTCATCGAGTGGACTTAAAAGTGGCTCGCAAGCGATGTTGATATCTGTTTTCTCATCCGCTTGTCCTCAAAAGAGTCGCGGGTTCATACTAGCAGTGAAATTGTACATTATTGAATGACTGAAGGATGACAATTTTTTTTTTCGATTCTGCTCAAGAATTGGCTTGTATTCGTGCAATGTCGGTTTCTGTTCATTTTCTCCAACTTTTGATGATGACTCTCAAAATTTGACCCAAGTCAAACCTTCCCCCTTTTGGCAATTAGATGGAACAATTTTCAATGCATCGTCTTTACTAATTGTGATTCTCTCATTGCATGCATCTTTCCAGGCGTCGGAAAGTCATGTCTATTACTACAGTTCACAGACAAGAGGTTTCAGCCTGTTCACGACCTCACCATTGGTAAGGCAGTCTGTTTTCTACATATATTTATTTCCCAGTCAAGATAAGCGGTACAGAATAGGGATTGATGTGTGCGATCACCCTGACTTCAAATAGATTGAGCTTATGTGTTCATACTGATTTGTTGGCTATGAATATTTGAGTTTTAAAAGCCCACATTTTTCAAAATCTCTAAGGCTCAAGATAATGACCGCAGTCATCTACTACGTCCAATCTTCCGAGATTCAAACTTTTGTTCCTGAATACTTCAGCGGCAGTTCGCCAACACCACACATGAGAGCCATCGTTATTTCAAAAGAAAAAAAAAGAAAAACGGCACATTATTTCAAATTGACGCTGCAGAAAAGTGCACAAACTGTGTCCCAGAGCTCGTAAATAAATGATGAGTTATACTGTATATATGTCTATATTTTACACTGAATGTATCAAAAACCTTAGCTATAGCCATGGAGCAGCACCCCAAGCACATTCAGATGTATGCCCTACAACAGCAACCAAATGGGCCTTATTTCAAAACACAAACACTTGAAGCTTATTCATTAAATTATTGCCATATTTGTAGTGAGTGCAAGTTAAGTTTATTTACGCACCACATTTGCACGTTTGAACATAGCTTTAACTAAACAAAGACTATACAAAATATAACCTTGCACTGAATAAAAGCCATAACGCACGCACACAAGTGAAGAACAAAATGATTTCTTTGGATAGTTGTAAATGTTCAGTGCCTTATAAATGAAATGTATTGTTATTGTTGTTATTATCATTCCAATTTGGGCATTTTTGTCACACGGAGCAGTGCGCACGCGTTGGACGCAAAGACGAAGGGTCCAAATCTGTAGCGTGGATTGAATCAGCCCCGACCACGGGCCATTTACCTCTTTTATAATTTCTCAACTCACAAGTCCAGTTCGTCGTAATCCTCTTTACTACGTGGAGTACATACTCCATACTTGAACACAAATCTGAGATGAATTGTGATCTAGGATTTTTGCTTCTTTAACTACCCTTCCCGAAAAGCAGACAGGGTACAGAGCTACAGATGGGGCCAAAAACCGTCTTTTAGTTTAACAAGTGTTCCCAACAGCACAATCTTTTCTTCAGTGAACACACAATTTGCTCCCCACTATACCAGAATCGTAAAAGATTGCAATCATTGCAAGTCACATGCAACATGACCATCAGCAGCATGTACAGTGTAATAGACTAAACATGCAATTTCGCGCCAGCTACTTGGGTTCTTAGGAAATCAGGCCTCATGTGTGTCCTTGTTCTTATGCCATTCATCATCTCCTTTATTGCACAGTACAGGGTACAGAGCTAGAGATGGGGCCAAAAACCCTCTTTTAGTTTAACAAGTATTCCCAACGGCACAATCTTTTATTCAGTGAACACACAATTTGCTCCCCACTATACCAGAATCGTAAAAGATTGCAATCATTGCAAGTCACATGCAACATGACCATCAGCAGCATGTACAGTGTAATAGACTAAACATGCAATTTCGCGCCAGCTACTTGGGTTCTTAGGAAATCAGGCCTCATGTGTGTCCTTGTTCTTATGCCATTCATCATCTCCTTTATTGCACTTTGCCCTCCGCTCGCACGACTTGCTCTAACCTTCCTTCAGCACTTGTCAGCGTCTTTGAGGCTCCCAACATCAGCCCTGAGTACCGTAACTTAGCACCAGATAACATGTCCACCACCAGACATCCCAGCCCCCCCATGTGTGCCATGACAAAAAGGTCCAAGGCCACCGGATTGGATGTCCCTCACGCAACCATTTCTAACCTTCTCTTTAGCGCAGGGGTTAAAGGTTAACCAAGGCACAACCACATATGGGCTGAACCATTAGAATGGGAATTGCACGGTGGCTGAAGCAGCGCATCAAATGCCACTTTGTTGGGAGTGGGCTTGTGTGCCCTGTCGAGTTTTAAGTATGAGTTTGTTTGTAATCAGATGCCACTCTCTGTCCTCTGGCTCTCCAGACTATGCACGACTTTGAATACCTCAAACTCCTGGGAAAAGGCACTTTTGGCAAAGTTATCCTGGTAAAGGAGAAGGCCACGGGACGCTACTATGCCATGAAGATCCTGAAAAAGGAGGTGATCGTAGCAAAGGTGAGTGGTTGCCAGTGAGATAGCAAAGCAGAGAAAAGACCGGGGTGGGGGGAGGACACTGGAGCAATGACTTGATACCGAACCTTTGTGGGAGTCAGTTGCACAAATGCTCTTTGTGGATTCTTTTTCCAGGATGAAGTGGCGCACACACTCACAGAAAACAGAGTCCTCCAGAATTCAAAACACCCCTTCTTGACAGTAAGGAACCCCTTTATATACCTGAACTAAACTTATTGTAGTTTAATAAAGACGCTCGGTGATTATTTAGTCTAGCAGCATCCATTTAGTAAAATGAGGAATGTTTGGAAGTGCTACTAGCCAACAAAGCCACAAGCTGAGCTAGACCTTTTGATTACAGTCGTTATATTTTGAGTCCACAATGTACAACTGTACTTAACCTACTATGACTAGTACAAATACTTTGCAAAGTAGAACATTAAGGCCAATGGCTTCATTTTAAAATACAGTGTAACCATGTTTAAAAACAAAAACAAAACAAAACAAAAAAAAAAACGATTTTGTTCATTCAGCGACAACAGAACACAACAAATCGGGCGTGGTGGCCAGTGTAATTGGTAACAATAACATCGGTCGACTAATTTTTTTTCCACACTATTTGCACGGTATTTTTTTGGTGTATTCTTGCGCATGAGTCAACAGGAATTGAAAGGCACGCAGTTCAGCTCCAGGCATTTCATGTTCTGCGAAGCAAACCGCGAATAAGTTGTTGCGTCTATGTCATCCTCAAATGTTCAAAGGCAATTGTCTACGTATAATTGGTCATTTGTACCATCTTCTCATGAACGTAGTGAAGCTTTTCAAGTGTAAAAATAATTCATTGAAAAATGATTTGGTACTTGAGTGCTCAGGTGTCCACGTAACAACCATACTAACATGTAACAACAGAGTAGACGACGATTTTCACCCGTCTCCTGTGAACAAAGTCAAATGCAGAAGAGTTTGATTCGAAGCATATATCATTTTTAACTTTTTCACAAGTTTGGTTTTGGGCTCACATGTCAAACTTCTGGACCATGTTTCCTGAGAAACACCCTCTTACATTTTACATCCAGCTGTATTAAATAATAGAAACAAATAATTACTTTTTTTTTCTCGTCTACAGGGACTGAAATACTCTTTCCAAACACACGACCGCCTTTGCTTTGTCATGGAATATGCGAACGGCGGTGAGGTAAACTGTTTTGGACTATTTTAGTAGTTGATAAGAACTCGTAGGTCAGTTGTTGTTATTTTCCCCTGGAATAACAGAACCCCTCTGTCTCCTTGCTGCCAATCGCTTTCGTTTCCCCTTCAGCTTTTCTTCCACCTTTCAAGGGATCGTGTCTTCTCAGAGGAGCGTGCTCGGTTCTATGGTGCAGAGATTGTGTCTGCGCTTGACTACTTGCACGCCGAAAGAAACGTGGTCTACCGCGATCTAAAGGTAGATGTTGATCCTTGTCCTGTCCCATCCTTGCTTCTCACGTCTCTTTTTAGTGATCCAGTTAAGGAATGAGCTGATCACAGTTTGTTCTGGGAAATGTTTGTGTTGAGCTCTGAGTGATTCACAGCAAGCATCTGTAGCTCTACCACTCCCAGCTGATAGACCAGCCCGGTCAGCATAGCACTCTCACCCCCAATTCCCTGACTGTTTCCCTTGGGTTTATGAGGCGGTATCTCAGTCTGCCAAGCTGCTACTGAAAATGCCAATGTAGCAGGATTGGAAGATGTGCTGACTCGCCCGGCATTACTGGACACGTGTGAGCTACAGCGGCCTGACTTAAATGAAGTCAAAGATAAGGCGCTAGCACGTGGGGATACTGAAAGGCCATGTTGTCTTATTTCACGAGCTGAAGAATGTTCATTAGTTTACCACACGTAGCCATCTATCAGGAGTGCCGCAGATATCATAAAACTGGCTTCAAAACCACAATGTTCATAATGTTTGGGAAATCAGTGGTCGCTAAAGTGTGTATTCCTGTTTGTTTAAACAGGCTTTTTCCATCTGGTTATAAATCCTAAATGTAATTTGTGAAAGCAGAAGAGAAAGATAATTTGACAGAGTTTACTGAAAACACTGATGAATATCGAATATAGACCAAAAAAAATCTCGTTTACTATGTTCATACAATTTGAGAAGCATATGCCTTTTTTTTGTCATATTCCCCGCAGTTGGAAAATCTGATGCTGGATAAAGATGGACACATCAAGATAACAGATTTTGGCCTTTGTAAGGAGGGGATCAAAGATGGTGCCACCATGAAGACTTTCTGTGGAACACCAGAGTACCTTGCACCTGAGGTAACCCGATTGCGTTTCTCTATTACAGTAATGCATTTTTTTTTTTTTTATGATTGTGTTTCTCTATTTCATAATGCAGTTTTTTTTTTAAACAGACAAATACTATATATTTCCAAGCTCCTACAGTTACAGCATTCCAAAGACATTTACCAAAACGCTCGTGGTGGAAAGAGGCGCTAAGCGCAAAAGAATCAGTGTGTCCGGGTTATATGAACTGCTGTCTATAATTTCGAAGAAGTCTAAGCTTTGTTTTGAAGTCATTTAGAAGTAAGCGTGTGCCACCCTGTCACGTGCAACCTGAGTAGACCCGAAACAAATTTGCAGCGTGTCGCTGGACATCAGTTGTTCAGAAGCATGTGGAAGAAAAGGCAGCTGTTGTGAAATGCCTTTCTAATCTCCAGCAGAAGTCTGTCCTTTAATGAGTGTGGCGTGCGCCAGGGCAGAGCAGCCTGCTCTCATATTTGCTGTATGGGGAGGGTGTGGCTATTCCCTATTGCGTGCAGGTATGACCAGTCTTATACAGCGAGGCCGTGTAACTTGATAGTGCATTGTGAGCGTGGGTAGCGTTTATGTGAGGGGAAGAACACGCGCATTTGACTGATGGTGTAAAAATGTTTCTCCGGGAGAAGCATGTGCGTGTTGACGCAGTTGCCTTATCGTTGTTTTTAGCCCCCCATTTGGAATTTTCTTGCTGGGGGGTGGTAGTGGAGGAGCAGGGTGTCATTGGCCGGCAGCCCCTCAGGAAACGTGAGCTTCTGCCCCTGGAATAAGACCGCAATGGCTACAGCTGTTGTGCAGCATCAGGGGAGCCATACATTGACCTGGGAGGAACCAGAGTCACTGTGCTCACTTTTTCCCTGCGATATTGTAACGTATATATTCCCATTAATATGGGTCAGAACAAAGCACCTTAAACCATATTGACCAGAAGATTCAAAACACTTGAGCCAGCCTAATACGTGAACACGTACTCCCTTTACACAAACTTGGACAGCCGTGCTCTCATCTCCACTGAGATGCCCAGCGTATGACAGCTCCAGCCGAGAGCAAGGAGACATCGGGGGCTGTTTCCATGGCAACGGGGTTGCTGCCGAGCGTCTCTATGGAGTGCAGCCCAGGCAGTGTTACAGGTTGTTCTGCAGTAAACAATGACCTTGTTGTGTGTGAGCTGCACAGGAATGTTGAAACGTCTGGGAATATTTCATTCAGATCAGGAGTAGGCGGGTCACTTTTATTAAAAGTATTTGTAGTAGGAAAGCCACAGTGGATCGAGCGTCAACTGATTAAACGGGCTTTGGGTATATCTTTTAGTGATGATGGCGATTTTTATATATTTATTTATTTTTTTGCCCAACTTAAAACCTGTCAAAATCAATCTGCCCGCATGAAAAGTAATGCCGGAGGTGGTATGATGGCTTCTAAATACTGTATTAGGCAGTTTGAGACAACGGCAAAAGACTGAAGAAAGTCCGAAAAAGGAATATTATCAACCCTAGTGAGTCAACTGAATAAAAAAAAAAAATGTTGGTACATGCTTCTTCCTTAACAACTGTGCCATATCGTGTTTGTAATGTAATAAAAAAATATGTTTTTTTGGGGTTTTTTTTAAATGCCGTACAATACCATATATGTGGGGCCTCAAAAAGTATTTTTTCCGGATAAGGACACCAGAGGTCAGAGTTTCTCTGTTGCAGCATTTTTATATCAGTGCGAGGGTCACTCGCCAGGTGAGTAGGTTTAAGTTTTGGCCAAGATGATCCCAAGTTATAAAATTGAGCACTTAATCATGACTGGTGTCACCCTCCTTTGGTGGATAATGTGTGTTAACGTTCACAAATATTTTGGTTTTCTTGTATCTCCGCTCTTCTCTGCCCTTTTTTTTTCCACTGCTCATTGGTGGTGTAAGAGTGTTAGAGTCAGGGGACCGAGCAGGCAGTCCTGGTTACGTATATGAGGGATGAGCTTGACTCCTGTGCTCCTGGCAGCTTCACAGCTGTGGCACTCTTCTACATATATGGGGCAGCTGCGGGCCCAGCTGTCGCACGGTATGAATCACACGACAGCAAAGCTGGAAATAGAGACGGCCTAGTAATCCAAACCCCACTCGGGCTTCACGTTACTCCTCCCTGCTCACCCGGTCGGTCATCCTCCGCTGTGCTCGCAGGCACATGTGTGCGCACACGCGGCAGTCCTGTTCCTTTTAGGGACACATGCGATCATCTGTTTTCCAGGACACTCCCGGCCCGCACGCTGTTGTGTCCATATCTAATTCTATAAAGCCCCCCACATCCTTGAACTGAAGTTGCTATTCTTGGGTGGGAATTAACCCACCATCGTTCTCCTTGAGCTTTAAGAGAACAGACTGTTCTCTTAGTCTTTATTTCACCTTCAACATCCGCCTGGAGAGGTAGAATCCAGTACAAGTCCCCGGGGACCTTGGAACAACTGTGCTCAGCAGCACATTATTCATTCAACAGGTTGCATTCTTCAGTGAGCACACCACCAGTAGAGTCCGTTTCATTAATTGTTTCCTATGAGACAAAATCGTTTGTTTTTTTTGACCAATGATTTGCGCATTTGGTTTGTGTACAGCGGCCCGATCTGTGTTTTTTGCCTGTTTTTTATTTTATTTTATTTTCCAAGTGGCCCGCACACCTAAACAGCTTGTTGACGTGTATGTGCGAAAGGGCCCTAGGGTGATTAAATATGCAGAGCTACTGGGGAAACACTATCCTCCCTCCTAATATGAGATGTGAGTCGTGGTTGGCCCCGGCCTGCCTCCAAACCACAGGTCAGCGGGGAGAGCAGGTGATTTTGGTAGCACATTAAGGAGCAACAGTTGCTCTTGGATTTTTGCACTCATCACCCGCATGATTTGGGACACCAGTTAAACACAAATATTTTGTTTACGTTATCTGGCGACTCGAGACGGGTGACGCTTTACTTCACAGTTGGGTGTACCACCCATTCCATTGCAGACTCAAATCACAAATAAACATATACTGTAGTCATGTTAAATGAGCCAATATCTTGCATTGAGCATTTTTATCTTTTCCCAAAGGCACATTCTTGTATTGGACCAGCTGTAAATGCACAAGTTTATTGTGAATCTCCAAGGTACTTGAGGACAACGACTATGGCCGTGCTGTGGACTGGTGGGGTCTTGGCGTGGTGATGTACGAGATGATGTGTGGCAGGCTGCCTTTCTACAACCAGGACCACGAGAAGCTGTTTGAGCTCATCCTCATGGAAGACATCCGCTTCCCACGGACACTCGGTCTAGAGGCGCGCTCGCTGCTCTCTGGACTCCTCAAGAAGGACCCCATGCAGAGGTGAGGTATCTCCACATTATGGTCAACAGCAATGAATCAACATACTATTATTTTTGCCGTTTCATGCTCGTCATTATCCCGGAATAGTCCACTGTGCGATTTTATGATTTGTGTACATTCATTGTACTGTTGAATAAAAAAAAATTATTTGAAATGAATGGAAAAAATGTGTTCCTACAATGTTGAAATACTGGATCATTGGAACTGTTATTGGAATCAAGTCTTGAAAAATGGCAATTTAAAAGCAATGAAAAAAAAAATCTAACAAAAAAAAAAAATGCCAGTTTTTCAATTGCACTTATTTTTGAATGTCCTTGTTGCTTTATGCATCCAGGCTAGGTGGTGGTCCTCATGATGCCAAGGAAATCATGCAGCACAAGTTCTTTGCCGGGATTGAATGGCAAGACGTTTACGAGAAAAAAGTGAGTTTTACGGACACTTAATGAAAGATGAAAGCCTGTGCCATAATTCTAACAACTTTTTTCCTCACTGACACGTTTCTACTCTCACCCATTTGTCTGAAACAGTTGGTCCCGCCGTTCAAGCCCCAAGTTACCTCAGAGACGGACACGCGATATTTTGATGAGGAGTTCACCGCGCAAACCATCACGATTACGCCACCTGGACAAGGTAATCCCAAATATTAAAATGTTATTCTTATAATAGCTAGTTTTAATCCACCGTTATGTTCAACACATACTCCTTTTCCTAAACAGTCTGTGATTTTTATTTATTTTATTATTATTGTATCGATTCATTGTTCCAGCATTGAGCCATGACAGTCTTCATCTCATCCCCCACTAAGTCTCTCATTAATAAAGAAACTATTGTGGCTGTATAAGGCCTCTCTTTTGAGACAAGTCTGCCCTCTCCTGGAGAGCCTGCAGGGTGTACTTTGAAAAGTCACCCTATTGGCTCCTGGGTTTACGTTGGTCCAACAGACAGTAGTTCAAGATTACCAAGTGCGATTTCCTACTTTGCTCAGTGGCATAAAAATACATCCGCACACAGTACAGGAACATATTCTCAGTTATAACTGTGACCCCTTTTTATTTTTATTTTTTTTGTAGGCTTTTAACGTAATCGCCCTCAAAGTCAGGGAACGTCGTATGGTTTTACCTTCATGGTTGTGTTGGACTGCATTTTTTGGTCACGACCCACTTAAGATAAGTGTCTGTTTTTTGTGCAACCGTAGGCTTTTAACGTAATCGCCTTCAAAAGTGAGGGAACGTATGGTTTTACCTTCATGGTTGTGTTAGACCGCATTTTTGGTCACCACCCACTTAAGATAAGTGTCTGTTTTTTGTGCAACCCAGACGAGAACATGGAGTCTTTCGACAGTGAGCGGAGACCCCACTTCCCCCAGTTCTCCTACTCTGCGAGTGGGGTGGCCTGACCGACACTTACACTTTCCTCAATCATCCCCCTCAATCCCTTCCCTTCAAGCCGACTGCATCCTCCAAAAAGACTGGGGCCCGTCGATTGTTCCTCACCTTCCTTGCTCAAGGAAGGACCAAGTTCATGAAGACACAGAGCTCTCTCACGCCCACCACCACCACCGTCACCACCCCACCCAAATCGCCCACCTGCGCCACCACTATTCGAAATTTAACACTAGACTTCATTTCCTGGCTGTTTAGCGAGCGGGCATCCACACATCAGCACCTATGTCGTAAAAATTGGACCACTGCCTTAAGTTTCAAGAAGCACTGTTATATTTTTCGAACCCAAGTAAACCGAAATCAACCATTTCAAGTAGAGATTACAAATACGGTGGACCAAAGTTCTGTCGGTAATCTGGTGTGCTCGTTGCTTGCCTCCTCTGCAATTCAAAATTAAACCTTCGACATTTTGGGGGAGCTTCAAAAGTTAACGTTTGAAATAAAGGTCATATGTCTTGCATACGTCCCTTGTTGTAAACACCCTCATTGAGTCTGATCGAGTAAAGGTCTGATATGCAAAGAATGGCAAAGTTTTGGAGACTGTTAACTCATTCACTGCCCACCGTTTTCAAAAGACAACCGTTAAGAGCGCCAGGCATTTTAAGGAATTTTGCCAGATTTTTCAAGATCTACGAAGTGAAAGAAAGAAATAGTAGACTGTTCTTTCACGAGGAAAAATAGATTGCCTATCTTTTTCCATTATTTAGTAATCGGCAGTAGAACATACAAGAGTCTTGAAATTCCGAAAAAACATTTCAAACTGGCTTTTGATAGATGAAACCGAACAGTGACATTAATCATGATATTCTTGATTTTTGTGATACTGTACTTCTAACATCTAAACCAGCAACAATAATTAGGAATAGCTTTTTGATTCTAAAATGAATTACGGATTTGGCCATATACAAGTGTTGTAAGGGATGCTAATCACCAGACTGCCAGTCCATCAGGGGCTGGCTTAGATTGTTCAGTGGCCGTCATGCATGTCATATCCTCAGGTAAGACCTCAGTTGTACGTTGTCACATTTATAACAAACACACCCTTCTGCTAATTACCACAATACATACTAACCATATACAGCACATTACCTGTTAAAAATGCCTCAACTTGTGCGGGCGACTACCGCCTTTATGTCCTCTGGCCCCGTGTACAGGGCCGATCTCAAATCCAAAATGGTACTCGCTGCGACATCTTGGCGGTTGTGCCTCATTTACCATTCTTCCCAACTTGAAATTCTCAGTAGAACAGCATCAGTGCCACATCCACCCCTTCATGTGTGGGAAAAAAACAAAACATCAAAGACGTTAAACTACGTCTTTGGCACTGAATGTTTGGAATCTAAAAGATGTGACAACATCTTTGGCACTGAGTGAGTTAACGTCCACCTCTTAGCCAGCTAGTCCTAAGTGTTTGCACACAGATATGTGTCCTCTTGAAATAAAATGAAATCGTCTTGTTCTCATTGCATTTCTGTCTGAAATCTCAATGCTGCACAGTGAACACCTCCGGGTTTCCCAAAGATCCGGATCAGTCGAGCCCTTGCTGACCCCTCGGAACCTCTTCCCTCCTGTAGAGTTTTTCTCCTAGTAGAGTATTGGGTGTTTCTCATCCAGTACTTCCTCTGCAGCCTCAGTGAGGTCACAAACACGATACATTTCTGTCGTAACACAAAGTGGGCTTCAGGGGAAAAAAACACATCAAAAGTAACCTTTCGTTTGCCTCTTGTGGGAGTTTATGTCCGGTCCCCTACTTCTTATTTATGAAACCAGCATTTAAATATTAAGTTTTCATGTGCCAATGAAATGCACCTTGCTACCCCACAATGATTGTATCTGGATTTTGTTTTAGTGGTTGGAAAAGACTAAATTAGCTTATGATATAATATTCAAGTGTTGTGGATGAATTACAAAAAAAAACTTTTTTTAAATGTTTCTGAAGCTAAACTGTGATCTATGAGATCCAACACGTGTATTTAAAGTATGATTAGAGGTTTTCATTGTGGTTAAGATGACAGATAATCATTTTTCAAAAGTGCATTATGCCTTCTTGAATGTAACGATGTTTGTTTTCACTTCAAAAAAACCTTCTTTTGTTAAATATGATTGTTGCTTATTCCTATGCACACACCCTTCTTGCTGTCACCTTCTGAAAAATAGGGAAATTTGTTTGACATTTTTTGTTTTTTATTGCAACTTTTTGTACCTGCCCTACCATATCCGCAAGACTGAGGACACCAGCTTTCGTAAACAAATAATATAAACTTTGTACACAGTTTTTAAATTGTTTCTTTCAACCTGATGGAATAAAAGGTCTTAACAATCCAGTGTGTAGTCTTTTTTTTTTCTTCTACTGTTTGAAGGTCTGGACAAAAAGTATCTTTTCCCTTAGAGTTCTCATCGTGAAAAATGTAGCTTTATACTGTATTATTTAAAGGCAGAAACATTGAGTCGACGTATATACTGAATTTAAAAACAGGCCTTTCTCAATAAGAATAGTATCAGTGTTTGATTCTAAACCATCCAGCCAACCATTTTCCAATCCGCTTATCCTCACAAGGGTTCCGGGGGGTGCTGGAGCCTCTTCCAGCCGTCTTCGGGCAGTAGGCGTGGGACACGCTGAACCGGTTGCCATCCAATCGCAGGACACACAGGGACAAACAACCATCCGTGTTCACACTCACACCGAGGGACAATTTAGAGTGTTCAATCTGCCTGCCATGCATGTTTTTGGAATGTGGGAAGAAACTGGAGTACCCGGAGAAAACCCACGCAGGCCCAGGGAACATGCAAACTCCACAGAATCCGGACCTGGAATTGAACCTCTGTACTGTGAGGTCGACGTGCGAACCAGTCGACCACCAGGCCACCCGTATACAGTAATGTGTTTTACTTTTTGAATTGAAATACTGAAATAAATGAAATATTCTGTTTTCATGAGATCCAGATGTGCACTGTGTCGGTGCACCTAATGATGTGGCTGATGATTGCGTTAAATGCTTTCAGCAGGAATATCCAACATTGATACCTTGAATCTCTGCAATTAAAAATCGCCATTTAAGCATGTTGTTTATGTACTGTTGGGCTCACTGATCTCGGCCAACAGACAAACATGGCTGATTTAAGTGAGAAAAATGCGCAAACAAAGGTTCTGGCTGTGTCTTGGCCGCGTACTCTATCTCTACAGGCCGCATTCAGGTCGTTGTCTGAGGCCCTGAAGCTGCTCAGACACAGGGAACCAAGCTCTTCCTCAATGCCTCGTCCAGATGGTACAGTCTCTGGAGCAGATGTTGACGGCCAGGCCTCGCAGTCTGTCTTTGGCAAGAAAGGATGCACGCCGCCAACACGACAAGCTTACCTGACAACCAGGTCTCATCTACCTCCAGCTGCGTGGCCTAAAACACACAAAATTGAAAACCAAGCAAACATATATACAGTAGATGACTTAGTTCAGCGCCGCCTAGGTGATGGTTCCAAATAGCAGTCAGTGTCAACACAGAACTCGCGGGCTTCCCCAAGAAAAGAAAAACAAACAAAAAAAGGTTGATTTACTTTCCACAGACAAAAAGTGTGACGATGTAACAGTTTCATACACTGATCAATTCATTCATCAAATGCCAATCTAATTTACTCTGATTTAAATGTTTCCGAACCAATTTTGAGCAATCGAAAATTTAAACTGAGTCTACGGCGTCATCTACTGGCCGTTTTGTCAACGTAATTTTTCACACCATCCGTTGATTGAAAAACGGTCAGAAATGATATGTAAATAAAAATAGCCATTCAACGACACGAGTTAACATCATTTGTTTTTTGAATACCTAAATATAAAGGAAAAAATAAAATACAAAATAAAGTTGAATGCAAATAATTTACCCATCAAACAATCTCTGCGCTTCTGTGAAACTGGACAAGTCATGGACGAAGATTGAATATAATACAACAATGCTTACGTTTTGGGTAACAATCAATCAAACTCACGTCTGAAAGTGGCGACTTTGGAGGTTTTTTTTCAATTACACATCAAAAGCTGAATTAAATTAAATTCAGTAACTACTTCACAATTACTTACTCATTTATTTTAACAGAGAAGCGGTTCGGATAATGAATGAAATTGTATCTATGTTTACGTTTTGTGTTTTATTTTTGTAAACGTTGATTCTCTATTCTCTTGTCTACGTGATAAAACAATGTCAACGTATATATTCCACGTTCACGTCAAAGACAAAAAAATGTTGCCTTTTTTTCTTTCCCGACCCAGTTCGTTTCAAATTGGAAATTTTACACAAGAGTGAGACCTCTTCAGTTGGAGATGGGTTTGACGGTACTTGTCAAGTGACGTCATGATGTCGGGAGGTGGAGAGGCGTCGGAGAGTTTCGCCTGGTTGTCATTCCCCTAAGGAAAAAAAAAAAAAGAGGGTGTGAGCAAAATCTACCTGGCTACCGTCACCTGGCGCCTACAGTGTACATGTTAGTTGTCGATCTTCAATTGTACGAAGACGCGCAACGCTGGCTTCGCTCAGGAGTAAGACGGAGAAGGCTTTACAGGTACGTGAAGTGCTCTCGGGGAATGTCGTGGGCAAAAGACTGGTTTCGGCCGCAACCAAAACAAGTCCATCAAGCCCGACTTCACTTCAAATAACATTGAGCTTAACGCTTAGGTGTAAAATATACAGTCGAAATCTGCCACGAGTTACAACTGCGAGGGAACACTTACAGGAAGCAACAATCCGGGAGCATTGGAAGTTTCCTTTTTAGCTGAAGTTCAACCAATGCCCTACATTCTTGCGACAGGTTTGAAACATACCAAAACAGAGATCGGAGAATTCATTTGAATGCGACTTCATTTCATAATCTGCGTTTGTGGTGTATTCGTCTACACACATCAGGCACACCTGTCAAGCCCCTTGCACTATTCTTTGCCAGTACAGTCGACTGCTAAACTCAAATACGTTACGTAGTGCATATGGGCTTTAGCAGTAACTGCCAGTCTGGAATTGTTTGGATAAACAGGTCTGACCTAGCAGAGATGAGCCAATGTTTCCCAACTTTTAATGAGCCAAGGCACATATTTAACCTTCGAGAAAATCTTAAGGCACAAAACCACACAAAAAAGTGAATAAACAGGTTATTTTTTTTTTTATTTGTAAGAAATACTGTAACTTGAGAAAGTCATTGGCTTCCTTGAACTTTCGACCTATTTTATTTATTTTTTTTGTGTTTGAAGAATCAAGACCCAGTGGGACCCAATCATGAAGTGGAACAAAATTCATGTGATTCTTTTTAACCTTTTTTTAGGAAAAGAAAAGAAAAGTGGGGCAGCAAAATAATTTAGCCTCCTTGAGGCTGAACAAAAGGTAGACGCACCTTTTGCTGCAATTTCAACTGCAAATCTTTTGGGATATGTCTCTATCAGTTTTGCACTTCCACAGACTGGGAAAAAAAACAGCCTCAGCTCAGGTAGATGAGATGAAGAGCATTTGAGAACAGCAGTTTTCAGATCTTTCCACAGATTCTCAAATAGATTCAGATCTGGACTTTCACTTGGCCATTCTAACGCTTGGATATGTTTAATTTTGAACCATTCCATTTTGGAAGTTGCTTTATGTTTAGGGTAATTATCTTCTTGAAAGGTAAACTTCCATCCCAGTCACAAGTCTTGGCAGACTCCAACAGGTTTTCTTCCAAAATGGCCCGGTAATTGGCTCCATCCATCCATCGTCCCATCATATTTAACCATCTTCCCTGTCCCTTCAAGCGAAAAGTCATGGTGCTCCTGTTATGTTTGACAGAGCAGATGGTGTGTTCATGGTGTTGTGCAATGTGACTTTACAATAAACAAACATACAATAAGATATTGTATTTTGCCCAAAAAGTTCATTTTTGGTTTCATCTGACCAGAGCACTTTCTTCCACGTTTGTTGTGTCTTATGGCAAACTTCTCACAGCACTTTTTTTGGGGCGGGTCGGGGGGCTGGCTTTCTTCTTGCCACTCTCCCATAAAGGCTAAATTTGTGTCCTTTCTTTACCGCTTCTTCCACGTTTGTTGTGTCTTATTTTATTTAACCAAAGAAAATGTAAGTTGGCAGTTGATTTCTGTCTTTCTTGGGATCCACTGATGTTCCAGGATGCCAAAAAGATCCTGACTCGCAGCACCAGGATGAGCGTGACGTCGTGGTTTCTCGTCAGCAGCTCAGGCACGCGCCACCGGTTGCCACGGGAGATGATCTTTGTTGGTCGGGATGACTGCGAGCTCATGCTGCAGGTGTGTGACTTTTGTGTGTTTTCGGAGCGAGGGCTCACCTAGGTGATGCCGCCGCATAGAAGGCCGAAGTTGACACAGCAAACAGCAGCGCGGTGTTACTTTAACCCTGACCGCCTCCCTCCATTAATGTCTTCAAAGATTATTAGAACGGCCCTTCTTGATGTGTGACAGGGCAGCCGCTTGCATTAATGTGTCAAGCAGACCAGGCACAGGCTCCCAGCATGCATTGCGATTGCGACGAGACCAAACTGGCCGTAGCCAACTGTGCACTAAGGTCTGAAACGTTCGACCAATCTGACTGTCCACAAAAAAAAAGTTTCCCCATTAAAAAGTGATGCAGTTGTTTCTTTTATTTTTTTAAGTGCTGCTTTACTCAGCACAAAACCACCCAAACTATTTAACACTTCTTTGAATATTTTCCATAGCTCTCCATATTCTGTGACACCGACAAAATCCTGTTTGGCATGAAAGCAGTATCAAATAACGCTGTGCCTTCCGACTCGCATATTTGGAATGCCCGAAGACAGCTGTAGTTTGGTAACTATCCAAGTCCTGGAGTCAGACTAGCAATTAGAACACATATCTTCCCTCCTTTGTCTTTGGTTTAGACTTCAGTGGCCTAGTTGCTGTTTCCTAGTGCTGCAGTCGACACATTCTCTCTGAAGAAATTTGTCTTCAGAGGCCTTAAAGTGAGGAATGTGTCATTGTTGCTGCACGGTTAACGTAATCAAGCCGGCGAGCTATTTTATTCAGACCACCGCCTCATGCAAGCGAGCCATAACGTTGTAAGCGCAGTTAGAATAACAGACAATGCACGTCAAATTGTCCTTTACTATGCGGATAAAAAGCTCATTGAAGGGTGCGAACGATTTTGCCTGGTCGGGATTTTTGTCATACAGAGGTCCCAGAGCGGAGAAATGAAAGCACATCGGTTCCGATTTCTCGCACGGTTTGCATATTCAGCAACGAATGAAGACACATTGAGACCAAACCACATTTACGTTAGTGATCTGAACGCCAGTGACTAAATCCTCCAATGGATCTTCTACCTGTATGTCAGGCGTGTTCAACCCTATCCCACCTCATCTTAATTGATCATTGCCCATAACGGAAATGTCTTTGTCTGTCTTTTGCAGTCTCGAAGTGTGGACAAACAGCACGCTGTGATCAACTACGACCCAAACGCAGATGAGCACATGGTGAAGGATCTGGGTAGCTTGAACGGGGTGAGTGAGTCTCGGCTGCCTCCGACCAGAGCGATAGAACCAGCCCCGGTTTGGTGCCAGTCCTTAATCACAAAAATGCTTTTGGGACAGCAACTGTAATCAAGTGCGTTTCTTTTCTAAACGTTGCCCCTGATCTCCTCTGTTGATCCTCTCTGCTGCCTCATTATCCACAATGGACTCCGAGTTGAGTGGTCAGTGTGGGTAGCTGATTGTTCTCCAAGAGAGTGTCTTTGGGCCGTGACAAACTAATCAGAGCGCAGCAGTGTGAGGACCCGTAACAGTAATTCAACTTGACTTCGATTATCTTCACTGACAGGACAGAGCAAAGATGCTCTTTCATTCTCCCCCCGATTACTGTTGTCGTGTAATATTTGATCATCAATGAGTAGTTTTTGCAGACGATGACATAATTCCAGTTTCGGTGCGATTACACGACACTTGAATGTGGTTTCGCTTTTATAGTTGACACTGTCCTTGCATAAGAACATAATCTCATCAGAGTTTCAGTCTACCACTGGATTAGCGTTGAATGGGAAAAGAGCCAATTGCAAAGCACCTTCTGCTATCTGTGAGCACATCATATGTGCGTTGATCAAAGAGGTCGACATCTGTGGTTTTTCTTCCAGACGTTCGTGAATGACCTTAGAATTCCGGACCAGACGTACATCACCCTCAAGCTTTCCGATGTCATTCGCTTTGGTTATGATATCCTTTTCGAAAAATGCCTTCAAACTGATGTCAATGATGTCAATGGATGAATTTAGACTCAACGTATCTCATGGCAAACTACACCCCGGCCTAAGCCTTCTGCCTAGGCTGGAATGAGGCACTAGCAGGCTAACTGCTTGCGTCACCGCTATTCGACATTTTCCCTTTGTTGGCCGTTAGCTTCGTCGGCATGTTAATTAATCCCTTGTGGTTTTTCCAGTCAGCCGTTTCAGATTATTGTCAAGTGTGAACTGAAAATCTCCTGTGCCCTTTGACCCCACCCTTTCAACTGAAATCTTGCGGGAGGTGGAATTTAGTTTTGATAACACGTCGGAAAGATCTTGGGAAGACGGTGACATTTCGAAATGTTTGTCACCACAACTGAATACACCGCGCGCAACGTTTGGCGTCACACCCTCTTTTCAAATATGTCTTTTTTTTTTTCTGTCCCAACTGCGTTCTACACTTGTGAAAAAGAACAAATGCCACAAAGTCTGTTTTATTTTTTTTAAAAAAAAAAAAAAATTAATGAACAAATGTTTGATCGGGTGCATGTTGTTGTTCTTTAACCGGCGCTCACATGCTCACGTATACATCCTGGAGAAGAGTCAACATAAGGTGCCAGAGGAGGCTCTTAAGGTCAGTAGGTTCGGCAGAATGTGTTCCTTTGGTATTTCATAAGTGAATCATCAATGCAGCCACGGCTTTGCTTCGAAAATGAACGACCCCGAGTAGATCGTCGTCGTGTTTGTGTACGGGGGGGAGGGACTTGTATCTCGAGCAGAACATTTTCGTAGCAGTTGTATCTTGTGCCTCACATCCTGTTTCCCTTTCTCACGCTGCGCAGCATGAGAAGTACACCAGCCAGTTGCAGCTCGGTCTCAAAGCCCTCGAGGCCCGCGTGAAGGACAAGCAGCAGGCTCACAGCCCGGAGAAGAGCAAAGAGGCTGTTTCCAATGCCAAGCTACCTCAGAAGGGCGAACGTAAAGCGCTTTCGCTTACAGGTATTAATGAGCCCTTACATAATCTCTGTTATCACAGGCGGCTACTTTGGAAACAGCTGTTCAGCTTGCGTGACAGGAACAGTTTTGAGTGCGAATTGATTTTAAAAGCATGTGAGCATGGCTCGAATGGCTGTGTTTTGTGCTTGCTCTTGCACAATCAGTCCAAATGCATGAAACGTTTTGTGAGCCGAGGTTTCCAAGTCTGTTGTCGGTCAAGAAATAGACTTCTGAAGTGTCTGCACGAGTCGACTTTAATTCGAAGTGAAGTCGCAGGAGGGGTGAAAAGGTGAAGGACAAAGTTCTTATCTGAGGCAGCCATGCCTGTCAGCTGACAAAGGAGGCCTTTTGGATGCACGCCCATGAAGGTTCTTAAAACGGTGTTTAAGGTCTCGCTGCCAACTCTTCACATGTATACGTATAGCTGATGTGTGGACTTAGGTCTCCCCGGAGGCTTTTTGGATGCACGCCCATAAAGGTTCTTAAAACGGTGTTTAGGTCTCACTGCCAGCTCTTCACATATATACGTATAGCTGATGTGTGGACTTAGGTCTCCCCTTGGAGTTGTTCTCAGGGCATCTAAGCTTCTGTGAGCTGCAGGAATTCTCAGCCAATCCTATTTTCCAACAACAGGCAAATAGTTCAAGAATTGTTAGGAAAGAAAGTGTGTTTGTCTGGACAAAAGCTCTTCCAGCTGTTCACATTGTTTGCTGCTCCATCGTAACCTCGATGCGAGCTGAGCGACGAATATGACTTGCGCTTAAAATAGGATTTTTAGGAACATCCTCGGCGAACACAAAATCATTCTCACTTACAAGCGACTGCTCGATGACTCAAAATCTCCCCACTTTGAGGAAATACGAGCTGCGGCACTTCGTCCTTTGATATTTTTTGTTTGGTTTTTTTGTGTTAGTCACGTGAACAAATCTGGCATGACTTTGTCTCAACTTCAAAGAGAGCTCCGAATATCTTTTCTGTGCTCTCTTGCGTGTTTTCCCATCCAGCTGCTCAGGATGTGGAGTTTGTCCAGTCCTGCCGCTGTCTGGAAGGGCGGGACCGTGCACATTTACAGGGTGTGGCTCATTAAAGCAGCAATTAGTTTGCCGCAATACTTGGCACGGTACTTGACTGTATATTGGAAACTATGACTTTGGAAAAGTAAAAGTGGAAAACTTTCCAATCCAGTTGAGACCGGAAGAGTGTTCTTACCTACAATAGAGCAAATCTACGTTTTTGAGTTTTGACACAAAAACGTAATTTGGTTATCCTAGCACGTACTGTCTTTTAGATGCAAGATTCCTTCATTTAGAAACAAAACAGTTATTCATTATACTGTATTCTTCTCCTCCCTTGAAGATTAGGATTAGCCTCATCCCCTCTTGTATCAGAAGGATTATCTTTATACAGCATGAATCATAGCATTTGGGTCACATGGATGACCCCATTTTTTTTTTTTTTGCCATCACCTTGCCACACATTTGTTGTAACATGATTCAAAACACATCCAAAAAAAAATTCAAATTTTTCCCTTTGTGAGCAAAGCTAATACGTTGCGTTTGTCTTTTAGCTTCTACAGATAAACCGATCTCCAAGCCAACTCCTCTTTATGGCCAACCATCCTGGTGGGGAGAAGATGAGGATCCAGCCACTAAAATCCACAACCGAAGCGGAAAAGCCACCGACCTTCAGACTTCAGGTCCGAGAATGCCTTTTGCAAATGTGTCTGACTGGGTTTATAGTTTTCATTTGTTTGATTATACAGATTACCTACACATCTGAGATCAGAACTGAATTAAAAATGACATGCTTTTCTGTGGCATCACGATCCGATGCCCTTTGTTGGGTCGGTGAAGGATGGAATAACATGCAGCCCAAGGCACATCTACCAGTTGTGGAATCTGAACCAGCCCTTACCACAGAAAGCCAGCGGGCATTGCCTGTTTGCCTCGTGCTGGGTTTTATGACCCTCTAAGCCGCTGGAGGGGGTAGGAAGCTTGATTGTAAGCCTCGTGTTGTGCAGCAGTCGGAGAGATTATATGAGCGATGTTGTGCTGCATTCAGCAGCTGTGAGCTGGACGTATTGATGTTTTTCTGTTTTGGTGATGATGTATATCGACAAGCCAATCGTCAAAATGCCTGCCGGCCAACGTTTGTGCAATGAGCCGACAGTAATTGCCCTGTGTTTGATTGGCCACCAATTACCCAAGTCCCTTTTGCCCAAATTCACAAATTAAACTGGGATAGGCTCCAGGCTTCCTGGGACCCTGAACAAGTGTTATGGAAAATGATTGGATGGCTGCGTGTGGTTCGTCTCATCTGAGAACGACAACAGCGTTAGTCAGCATTTCATGAATTACTTTTAACAGGAATCTGCGTCGATTGTTTGCGTCATTGGTTTGTTAGTTCTATACGTATGGACTACAGCGTGATGATGTTAATCCACAACGAATGATGTTTATTTTGTGTATCATATTCTTGTCCCCAGAATCTGTCCAAGAAGTTTCCAGATATGCGCTCGGCGGTTCTTTGTCTGAGAAACAGGCCAAGTCCATCTTCTCCTACCGCCAGGAGCCCAGCTACTTCGAGATTCCCAGAAAAGAGTTCCAGCAGCGGCTTTCCAAGAAACCAGAGTTGCAACTTCAGGAGGTTCCAACAAAGGACACTCAAGATCCCTCTGACCATGTCCCATCCACCCCCACTCCTCCCGTGGTCCAAAGCCATGCCTCCTTCACTATCGAATTTGACGAATGCACCCCAGGCAAAATGAAGATCAAGGACCATGTCACTAAGTTCTCCTTCCGTCAGCAGCGGAAGCCTCCTGCCGCTGAGGCTGAGAAGCTGGACGTATTGATGTTTTTCTGTTTTGGTGATGATGTATATCGACAAGCCAATCGTCAAAATGCCTGCCGGCCAACGTTTGTGCAATGAGCCGACAGTAATTGCCCTGTGTTTGATTGGCCACCAATTACCCAAGTCCCTTTTGCCCAAATTCACAAATTAAACTGGGATAGGCTCCAGGCTTCCTGGGACCCTGAACAAGTGTTATGGAAAATGATTGGATGGCTGCGTGTGGTTCGTCTCATCTGAGAACGACAACAGCGTTAGTCAGCATTTCATGAATTACTTTTAACAGGAATCTGCGTCGATTGTTTGCGTCATTGGTTTGTTAGTTCTATACGTATGGACTACAGCGTGATGATGTTAATCCACAACGAATGATGTTTATTTTGTGTATCATATTCTTGTCCCCAGAATCTGTCCAAGAAGTTTCCAGATATGCGCTCGGCGGTTCTTTGTCTGAGAAACAGGCCAAGTCCATCTTCTCCTACCGCCAGGAGCCCAGCTACTTCGAGATTCCCAGAAAAGAGTTCCAGCAGCGGCTTTCCAAGAAACCAGAGTTGCAACTTCAGGAGGTTCCAACAAAGGACACTCAAGATCCCTCTGACCATGTCCCATCCACCCCCACTCCTCCCGTGGTCCAAAGCCATGCCTCCTTCACTATCGAATTTGACGAATGCACCCCAGGCAAAATGAAGATCAAGGACCATGTCACTAAGTTCTCCTTCCGTCAGCAGCGGAAGCCTCCTGCCGCTGAGGCTGTGACCACACCCACCGAGGTGATGTCAGCTGAAAGTAAGGTTGCTGACTGGCTGGTTCAAAGCACCGCGGACATGACGAGGAGAAGGTCACAGGGCGAAAACATCTTCAGCGACATCAGTGATCCGTCACTTCTGATGACGACCAAGGGTGAGTACAAATGTCAGTCGGTTGGTTCTTCATTAATCCAGGTAACGGTTCTAGTTTCTCCAAACGTGATCTTTGTTCTTTCATCATCAGCAAACCACTATGAAAATGTCGCTGACATTGGTTCGGAAGATCCCACGATCAATGAGCAGACTTTGCTCCAGTCACAAACTCTAACGGGCTACCCCCAGAGTTCACCTCGGCCACAGAGAGCCTCCCCTCCTCAGCGCTTCACTGACTCAGAGCAGCCATCCTCCTACTCTCCTCCACAGTCTCAATCCGGCACTGGCAAGGCAGATCCTCACCGAGCATTTGTCATCGAATTTTATGACGATCATTCCGATGATAACCCCCGAAGGAAACGTTCCCAGACCACCCCGTCGGAACCTTCGAATCTCAGGAGCCAGCTTGAAAAGGCCAGAAAAAGCACAAGTCCGGCTGGTGAGAAGCAAGTCCAGCCTGCAGCCTGTAGCACTCCCCCATCCCAACGGTACACGATTCCCCTCAAAGGCCCCGCTTCCACTGGTTCTCAGAGACCTGGCTCCCTACGACGGGAAAAAACAGAAGAACGACTTAGCACTGGTTTTTCATCACGGTCATCATCCGCCATTTCCGGAAGGGCTTTTAGCAGTGTGGGCCGACGATCCAAATTGGCAAAGGAATTTAAAGCGGAATGGCTCAAACAGACGAAGCAGACGTCTTCTTCCAGCGAGGAGATAAAAACATTTAGTCCACCGACAAAACCTGAAACTGAAACATCAGAAGTCTCACAGCCTGACCAGACTCTCACCAGCCCTGATGGGGTCGATCCTTCCCTTCTACCCAAGACATCCTCTCCGATCCACCAACCAGTTCCCCTCAAGGTGCCGAAGATGCCTCTCGTGTGTCAGAGCGGAGAGGCCAAGGTGACCCACGGCGGCCCTAGAAATGTAGAAGAGGACACGTTGAGTGACGCGGGAACCTACACCATTGAAGCGGATGACCCGGATAAGGAGCTCGAAGAGGCCCGCAACAAGATTGACAAGGCGAGTTTTCTTGACTGCTGTGGATTTCCTTTGCAAAGTAATACCCATCAAACCGCGTTTGCTCTGCAAATTGAACAGTCTCGTGTCTCTTGGGATGAGGTCTCGTCCAGGAAATGGAGCCATGGATATTGGCCGGGCCCGATGACCCACTTTTAATGCTTTGTTCCAGGTGTTTGGTGTTGTTGAGAATCCAGACGGAACCAATCACAGTGAAGCAGATACATCAGCAACATTTAGGCCTCTTATTATTGAGGGCAGGGAGCTGCATAGGCAGAGTAACAGTGAGAAGGTGAGGCCTGCTCCACAGCAAGGAGCAAGTGGCCTGAAGGTAAACCTTCCTGCTCGGATTTGAATGATTTATTTATTTTTTAAATCGAGCAATAATATTTCATTATTTATCATAACACCAACTCTTAAAATCAGGTCAGTAAATTGGGCCTCAACCTTTTGGCGAATCTGTCTTTTTTGATTCCCTACAATTCTCTCTTCTCACATTCTTTAGGGCATTCACGGTTTGATTTAATCCAACAAGGTGTAAAAACGAATCAGAAACCAATGCACCAGACAATGCACAAGGGTCACCCGCACCATCTGCTGCCTAAAAGAAGAGCTGGATCATGAACATTCTGATAATCTTCTCATTCTCAGTTTGGATTGACTGTTGAAAGGGTACTAATTTAACAGTGTTTATTCCTGGAGTTAGTTGCCTCCTGGTGTGGTATTTACAGTATCAGACAGTTTTTTTTTTCCAGCCATGCCTGTCTGCGACCCCTTCTCAAAGTTTTTTTATTGTACTCCAGATGGCATTTTGTTCGATTTTCCTTGGGCGATAAAATCCCTGATGGTGTTAATATCTAACTGTGGGTACACGAAGCCCTTTGAGACTTTTCTGTCAGTGAAGTCTATTCAAATACATTTTACTTGACTTACCGTAATTTGATTATTATAGGCTTTTCCTGCAGTTATGTAAAGTAACCTTAATAGTTACAGTATTTACACAACGATATGTTTCAACCGCAATAATAAAAACACAAAAAAAAAACACTTCTCTGACGATGTCAATCTAAACTGAGCATTAAAAAAAAAACAAAAAAAACCTAAACATTTTTGATTCTGAATTGAAATCTTGTACCGGATGTCATTAAATTTTGCAATCGTACCTATTGTGACTTTTTCATGTATGTTGTTCTGATTTTGTTCCTCATCTTAAAAGTTTGTTCGCTGATTAGAAAAAGAAAAAAAAAAAATCCGCTGTTCTTTATCCGAGTAAGTGATCGGACACACGCAATGACTCGTTTTACCTTACACAGGTTGAGACGGCAGGTGCATTGATACAGGGGGCTCCAAAATGGATGTCTTGCTGGGCGAGCTTGGTCGACGTGGAGACTGGCCCTTCGTCTGGCCACTTTGATAGGTCGTCCCGGATGGAGCTGTCGGGAGGCGGTAAGCTACCTGATTAAAACAGAAGTCTATTTCAGATGATACTGAGCTAGCCTGATGAATATGAATGATATTTTCTGTTCCCCAATGTGTGTTTAATAGACGTTAACAACTGTTTGACTGTAGCAAGGACCACAATCACGTGCAAACTCGTCCAAAATAACGACTTCGGCTCCGAAGGCCCGAGAGCCCGACGTATCCTGGGGGAGAAGAGTGATGTTCCAGTTCCCAGCATTCAAATCCAACATGATCCCCATTCAACGTTTAATGTGGAGGAAAGCAGCTCGGTGGCCGCCAGCTCTCACGATGGCGTTCAGAGATTGTCAGTGCAGGATGACGTGGAGCCCGATAGTCTGAGTGATGCCAGCAAGTCTGACGATGGTTCCGTCGTAGAACAGCGGAGGAGGCCGCCGTCAAACACAGAAAAGACAACAAATGAAGATGAGGTCAGACAGTCTGACAAATCAAAAACGTTCCACAAAGAGTTAGAGGACGACACCCCCGAAACAGAATACGGAGCCTCACAACTCCCCGACAACACTATTGAAAAAACGGAGAAAAAACGGTCACCCAAAACCTTTTCAACAGCTACTTTGACCAAGCGTAGAGGGAGCCAGGAGTCAGGCAAAGCCAGGCCCACCATGTCTGCTTCGATTCTGGTCCAAGACACACCGAGCTCTGAGTCCAAGGACACCTCGGCGTCCTCCTTTGTCAGACAAGAGAGCTTCACCAAGGAGGAGCCGAGCAGCGCCAGACTGCCCAACATCTCTTCTCTCGGAGACCCTGAGCCCGACTCATTCCAGCGAACCTGCAGCCAGGACACCCGTTCTTACCTCAAGGAGACTGAGGATGTCCTGGCTGTTCTGGAGGCCAAGATCCAAGCGGGCCAGTCCGAAACGACCCCATCTCCCATTCCAGACTCCCTCTCTGGGGAATCTGATTTGGACTCCTCGAGTACGCTCAGCCAGCAGAGCAGTCGACTCAGGTGCAACCCGCTGACTAAAAAACCTCCGCTGAGTGGTCTCCAAAGGGAGACCTCGTCACCTAGTTTATCTAGTCACTACTCAACCCATCGACTAGAAAAGAGCGAGCCCCTCAGGAGACCAACCGGACTAAGGCGTAGTATTGGCAAATCTGGCTCAGTGGACTTGAGTGATGACCTTCAGAGCTCCAACGTTAAGAGTTCAAGGGCGACGCAAAATTTTAGCCGCGTCAGTAGCTTTTCAGCACCGAGACCCACCCGGGCATCTATGCTCCGGCGAGCACGCCTCGGTGAAGCCTCTGACAACGAGACCACAGAGACGGACCGACTCTCCAAGGAGGCGGCTAATGTCCCCACTAAGGAAACCAAAAAACTCTCCAGGTGGGATATGCTGGCCATGCCTCGCCGGCGGACAAGCTCCTTCCACACACCCAGTGACACGGAGAACTCCTCCGCCCCGCAGTGGGCGGGAAAGAGCGCAGCGTTCCCAAGCCGTAATACAGAATCTGGCAGCATCTCAGGTTACAAGGCATCTTCTCTCGGACCAAAACCTGGCGAAAAGCCACTGAAAACCTCCCTCGCAAAAACACCCATCACTCGCGGACGCTCCAGCAGTGCCAAATATGCCAGCAGCACAGCAAGTGAGTAACACTGAATTATAGACTATGTTTGACTATTATATTGAGATTCCTGTGATACCTAAAAAAAAAAACAAATCCTCTGAAAATGAAGACCTAAGCAAAGTAAGACTCCTGAAGTGTTCGCATGATTGAATGCTTTTTAACCCTCAAGTACAGAGGAACTGCTGTTCTGGTAACATATGTCACTATCGTTTGAGAGACCAGAACTTGACAGGCACGGGACTTCAAGGTCTGACCCAGTGATGAATTGGTTTGGTTCTTTTAAGGGTTTCAACTTATGTCTCATTCATGATGTCTCTACTCGGGCGGCCTTTTTTTAACCGAAGCTTTAGGTGGGAATACTTTTACTAACAATAAGGTCTCCTGTACAGTCATCTGCACAGTACCCACCACTCGCACTATTTACGTACTGATGGGCTATTGTGAGCGGTATTATTCTTGTCTGCATTCAGCTGCTGTGCTGTGGAAGTCAAACATTTGCTCATTTCTCTTATTTGCTGCTATTGGACATTCATAAGAAATGAGCACTTCCACAGCACGTTTTTTCCTCATGAGTGTACAAAGGTGGACGCAGACATTTTTCCAGTGGAAGACGGGGCCATAAGATGCCGCGTACTTGAAATGTCACAACTCACAGTTTGGAGAGGTCTGCCGTGGCTACACTGCGTACAGGGTTGAGAAGTCATTGTTTGTCATTTTGAGGAAATTTTGCCATACGTCGACAACCTTGACCAACACACTCATAGTACACGCAGGAACAAATCTAAGTACAAAGCCGAGCTTAATTTACTCGCTAAGGCCTTTTTCTTGCCTTTGTCTTGGGCAGTATGATTCTATTTATGACCCCGACTACAGATGGTGTGATGAACAATTACTTCTCAGCCGTGTTGGTTGTTTGCTAAGGTGTGAATGTAAGATCCTTGATTAATGCTTACGACAACTATTAACTCATTCAGTACCAGCCAATTCTGGACCAAGTCTGAAAAGACGTTAAAAAACGTCTTTGGGAGTGAATGAGTTTAACATTTAATTGCTATGAAAGATGGCCTTTGCCACCTGTCGGCAACCACTTCGCTCCACCCCTGTTCATAGACCCCCATGTGTCAAAATTTTCATGCTGGTGTGCTATGATGGTATCTATTTGTCTCTCTCTCTCTCTCTCTCTCTCTCTCTCTCTCTCTCTCTCTCTCTCTCTCTCTCTCTCTCTCTCTCTCTCTCACTCCTCTTCCTCCCTTCGTTCCTACTAATTCTCCATAATGCAAACCAATTCATGCTGCCAAAGGCTCCCGGAGACGACAGAAAGGTTGTGGCTATACCTCCACGTCAGATGAGGAGTACGACTCCAATCAAAACACTCCTAAACACAAACGCTCCCAACCTTCCTCAGCCTCCCACAGTCCGCACCGCATTGCTCGGTCCCGCCCGATGCTCCCGCTGCGTCCCAACCCCTGCAACAAGGATTCTGAGGAGAACCAGGATGGGGAGAGCTTGAGCAACTGGTCCACCCACAGTGCCGAGATTGCACGGTAGGGAATATCATTTTGTTTCATGGCGAAATTTGCAGCATTCACGTCGTCAAATTCAGTACAGATGAACATTGTCAAGTTTCCGCTCTCTCTTCGATAGCTTGAGTCAAGACCTTGCCAAAGATCTTGCCATCTTGGCCCGAGAGATTCACGACGTTACAGGAGAAGGTGGCCCGCCGAATTTGACGGCGGAGAGAAGCGTACCCGTTTCTGCAGTGACGGCTCACGAAAAGGTAAACAAACTTCCTCAGGCTGGTCGCCTGAGAACCGTGACTGCGGATGGTATGATAAAGAATGACTTCACAGCCATGTCAGTTGCTTGCTGTGGTGTGAAAGTCATTATTTTGATTGATATTGACTGCAAGAACTGACTGTTCTTCATTTAATACAGATTCTTTTCGAGTTTGCATTCAGATCAAGAGCATATATTTTTGTACATGCAGTAAATATAAACAACTTTTAGCAGAGTATCAAGGGGTCTAAAGAAAACGCCATTCATGTGAAAATGGCAGAAATATCACAGGTATCAAGATTTTCCATGAGGTGCCCAGAGAAGTGACAAGGGGTGGCCATAACCACCCCTGGCCACCGTGTAGCTCCGCCCCTGTGAACACCATAACTGGATCAGTCTCACCCACACTAATTTTTCAGCTTGTTCAGCGTATACCAGAGATGGGGTTGAACTATCAGAGAGTCCCGCCAAGTTCTTCTTCAACAGCAGAACCTTACCTTCACTCAAGTGACCCGGATCTGAACTCCACTCTGCAACCTCACAGCAGAGAGGAGGTCTGAGACAACCCAAAGGCCTCACGAAAACGTCATGATGTGAGCCATCTGAAATCGTCATCGAGTATCTTTCTTGTTTGCGCAGGTCACAGTGGAGGATCCCATGCTGAACCCGGTGTTGCAGGTCATCATGGCCATCAGAGAGAACACGGAGCAGCTTTCTGAGAAGATCAAGTAAGAATCCCACGAGACCACAGCCCACGCGCGCAATTTCCAAACGTTGGTTGAAGAACTGAATTGATCAGCATTGTGTTGACCGTCAGAATATGATCTTGGTCAATCACCACACAAACTTAAATACTTTATTGATAAAGATAGTGTCATGGTGGTGCTATATTGCATGCAATTAAAAAAAAAAGTAAAATAATGTGCATGAAGATTCAAATTGTGCATAGGTGCTTTGTAGTTGGCTTATAACAAGTCCAGTGTGTGCCCCAACTCTCACCCAAAGAGTCATTCGGTTCTGGTTTTGTGATTTGTCCCAGGGGTTCTTTCTGAACGAAGATGTTCGTTTTCGATGTAGACAGAGTACGGATTGTCCAATAATCTTGTTGCTTTACCGTGTTCAGGGCGCTCTTTTATGACAGGATGGATCTTTGGGAACAAATAGAGGCTGAAGTTAATACGGACAGTGATGGACTTGTTGTCAAAGCATCCAACAAGGTATGAGTTAACTTTTTTTTAATTTTTTTTTTTAATTATTGTTTTCAAACTAAGGCTGAATTGCGCGCATGTGTGTTTCAGGATATTACATCTATTTTGAAAGAACTAAGGAGAGTCCAAAGACAAGTTGAGAGTAAGTCAGCCGCAGCATATGCAAATCGGAATACCTGCGATGGTAATTCACCAGATGAATTTGCATGTTTCTTTGCAGTCATCAATACAGTCATGGGGCCCAGTTGGCAGCCGTACGACAATATTGAAACGCCACACAGATGTTGAACATAGTAACAGTCGAAGTAGAAGACTTCCTGAAATGGTTTCGGAAGATCTCCGAGAGGGACGCTTGGTTTGACGTCGGGGGGCCCCTCGGCCTGAACGTCACGAACGCAGGTGTCAACTCGGAAGGCGGAGAAGATCTCCGAGAGGGACGCTTGGTTTGACGCCAGGAGCCCCTCGGCTCACGAACGTCACGAACGCAGGTGTCAACTCGGAAGGCGGGAAGCGAGATTGAACGGGGTGGAAAGTGGAAGTGAAACACAGACTACTGAACTTTGAGTACGACATTATTGAAACACCACACAGATGTTGAACATAATAACAGTCGAAGTAGAAGACTTCCTGAAATGGTTTCCTCATCAAATGCCCTCAACACTACTTGATTGTGTGTGTTATTTGCCAGTAATTTGACGATTTCAAGTGACAGATTTTTAAGATGAATCTAAATGAATTGATGGCATTAAAAAAAAACAAAAAAAAACCCTGGGAGGAATCATCTCAGGGAACCTGACTAAAATTTGTTTTTGTGTTCATTGTTGAAAATAAGATTAGTTTTAAGCATGAGCAGCGAGCTCTCGCCGCGGGTTTTTTTTTTCCCACCCCTTAACAAATGTTCTTTCATGTCCATGTATTTTGAGCAGATTGATGCAAGAATGTCAACTATTTATATTTTGTAGGACATTTATGTATTGTCTCCCAGATATCATGGTGTCAGGGAGCTAAGTGGACGATGCAATCATCAGATCAGTTATTCCTTCCAACTGAAAAAAAGGAAGGTCACCAAATATGACACGTGGCTGTCAAACCTCAAATGTGCTGGATTAAATGTGCTGTTGTTTCCGAGCAGCAGCGAGCGGTTAGACAAGATGCCGTTCGGCTTTCTTTGATGACATCAAACCTCCGCGATGTATCACAAGATCCACTTGGTCGATTCTGCGCATGTTGTTATTGTCAAAGTACACTTGTAAGTCCTCGATCATAGTTTGTGATCTTGATCACTACCAATTACCTCTGAATGTTTTTGGGGCTTTTGCACTAAGTGACGCAACATTATCCCTTTGGCCCGGCTTTTCGCCCGTGTGACAGCAGGATGAAAGTCACCGTGGTGGACCAGCAGCTTGATGTTCTTCCTCTTCCCGGTCCATGTTTTGCGCGCGATTGGGAAGTTCTTGCAAGTGCCACAAAGCTGTGTTTAGGATGCTTCTTGCAGCCTGAGTGCAAGCTGTTTACAAGTGAATGTGTGATGTGTTGCTGCTAATCTGCTTTGATGGGATTGGTGTCTTTAATCCCACCAAAGTCTTTTTAAATTTACAAAGCTGAAATGAAAGCAAGTGTGTCAATCGGTTCCATTACGGTTTCTTTGATCAAGAATCAAATCGGCAATTGTGTTGTCTTATTTGTGTTGTTTTGTGTTTGGCCATCGTCTCAAGTGATTTTGAGGGTCTTTTTCTAATAAATTGAATTTGAAAATATGGATAGATTTGTAGTTGTTTTTACTCCAAGCTCGGTCTGAACGTTGAAGTGAAAGGGAGCAAAAAGGGGAAGTGAGCTGTGTACAGTAAAGCTGAAGAGGAGGAAGTGCAGAATTCTTTCAAGTGGGGCACGTTATGCATTAGCTTCATGTGAGTACCATTTTTATTTTATCTAAAAAAGAAAATCGCAGTCAACATTCTGCTTTCTTTCTGGACTTTAGGTCAACTACGTATGGAAGGATGAGAATCTCCACGAACCGTATACTTCATGACAAACAAAACAAAAAGGTATGCTGTCCTCAATTCTTTGACGATATACTGATTTTGTATGATTGAACTTGTTTTAGGAGTCAACCTGTTACGTGGCTTCAATTGGGGTTTTGGCCACAATGATCATCCTGGGGATCCTGCTTGCTGTTGCTGTGCTGGAAGGACCCCAGGCATCCCAAAATCACGTTGTCTCTATGGACCAGTGCAGGTAACAAGCCAAATAAATGTTGCCTTGTCGAGTTGTCACTGAAACAATTTTATTGTACCTACAAGAGGGGTTGAAAAATTCTTTCCAACAGAACACCGGTAATTTGTATGAATGAGCTGGAAGTTTGCAAAACTGTAATTAGATTGTTAATGTTGAATTACAGTTTAGGTAATAGGTAAATCCCTGCCACTCAGCGAAGAAATGTAATGACAACCCTCAAAACTTACAATTAAACAGCATGAGAACAATCATATTATTGAAAATTAAAGAACAAATGTAATCGTAGAAAAGATTTTCCAAGGTCATCGAGGATTACAATGTTTATTTTATTTTTCTCTGGTTGAATTTTCTAGTAGGGCGGTATCGTTATTTGTTACACTGTAATGTATTGTTGACTGATTTCAAAACTAGTAATCTATTAATTTGCTGTGTACAAGTAATAATTTTGTGGTTTCGCTGTCATAACGGCCCTCTGATGGGAGATGGCCCACGCGACTAAAATGAGTTTGACACTACTGCCCGATACAGTCAAAAATCTACATACAGGTATAATTGACGCAAGTGGTGCTGCGGGCATCGATCGCGATTGGCCGTTTTGCATGTCACGATCGATGCCTTTCATTGCCGATCACAAAAAAAAAAAGATCACCCACAGCAGTTATTTTGCAGCCTGAGGCTTATTAGAAACCAGCCCGTATACATTCTCGTGTCCCCGGCCTCTCCCTATCCATAATATACGGCATGTTACAGACAAGTTTCGAAACCCTGATCGGAAACACCGCTAAATGACGCCAATTGAAATGAATGTTGGGACGGGGGGTGATAAATGTGGAAAAAAATAGGAACAAAATATTGATTAAAAAAATCCGACCACTTTGCAATCCAACCATTTTAAAACAGTGTCTGTGCATGCATTGAATGTTTTCAGTATGGTTGTCGTGGAGAGCATTCCTCAACATGTGCAATACAAAGCCAACGGAACATTTGGGATCCCTTTGGAGAAAGTTTGGAAGGAGCTTCTCTCCATAGCAACAGAAGAGCTGGAAGTGGTTTCTTTTTACTGGACATTAACTGGGAACGACACCAACATCACCTCTTCCTCTGATAGACCCGTAGGTATAATTAATCTCTCATGGGGTAAGATCTTTGTACAGCTGTCATACTGACGCTTGACTCTGACGACAACAACAGGGGCGGGAAATCCTCGAGCAACTTCAATCGCTGCCCTCTAGGAACGTTTCAGTCCGAGTGGTGACCAGCCTTCCTTCCATCAACTCAAACTCCACTGACTTAAAGATCCTAGCCGAGAAAGGTGGAGCACGATGGCTTCGAGCACATACCGTACCTAGTTTCTCACCAGCGTCCCCTACGTTCATCCTCTGCAGGAGTTCACGTCCGCGAGGTGAATTTTGGACGCCTGACAGGTGGTGTGATGCACAGCAAGTTTTGGATAGTGGACAGACGGCATGTATTTATCGGTAGCGCCAACATGGACTGGAGGGCTCTGACACAGGTAAACCCGCTTCATGAAACACAGCGGAAGTGTGAGCTGTTTAACCACACGTGTGGCTGCGTAGGTAAAGGAACTGGGAATGGTCATCTACAACTGCTCCAGTCTTGCAAGAGACCTCTATAAGATCTTCCTGTCTTATTGGGTGATGGGAGAGTACAACAGTTCCTTGCCGGTGTCCTGGCCTCCCAGCTTTGACACTGACATCAATAAAGAGCACCCCCTCTTGGTGAAAAAGGATAACATCACCAGCAGACTCTACATTGCAGTCAGTTTCTATCTCAGTCCCCCGTTTTTTTTTTTTTGTTCCACGATAAAGACCTCAATGCAGCTTCATGTAAAAAATATATTGGGGACTTTTGTTCTTTTGCGTCAAGAGTTCTCCGCCGTCATTCTGCCCTGAATCACGGACCCGGGACCTCGAGGCCATTGTTTCCATCATCTCGGAAGCTCAACACTTCATTGACGTAGCTGTCATGGACTATTCCCCCAGCATACGCTTTCATCGCCCAAAAAGGTGACCAACATCAAATATAAATAAATATAAATGTGAGCTATACAGTGGGACCCAATTATTATAGTTTAGCAAAACTAATGAAACAACCAAAAATTGAATGAACATTTTGAAATAAAATAAAAACAAGGGTTCTTTAAAAAAAATATTACATTAAAGTGACAGGTAATATTCATACAACTAATAAAAACTATAGCTACATTTTTTTTGTCTTTGTCATTTAAGTTCATACATGAGCTTTCTGGGTTTATTTTAAATGTATTTTTATTTTTGTATTACTCTTCAGCTATGCGGATGAAAGAAGGTCAAACAGTTGTTTTAGAATTGTAGATTTTTTTTTCCACAATACTAAGCGACCTTTTTGTTTGTACAATCTCCCAGTCCACAAATATTCCATATTAAAAAAAAACAAAAAACAAAAACAAAACTAAGTGAGGATAAGTGGTTCGGAAAATGGATGGATGGATAAAACTAAAACTAAAACTATTAGAAATGAAACTAAAACTAACAAAACTTATGTGGTAAAAAAATAATTAAAACGTCCAAAACTTAACATGCAAAAGTCAAAACAAAATTAAAACGACCCACAATGAAAAATCCAAAGCTATTATAACCCTGCTTCATCTGAATGAAATGTTTCATGATTTTAGTTTTTATGATTTTGATGCTTGAAGCTATTGAAAACTACTGTACATCTCAAGAAATTGGACCATTATATCAACCTATTTTTAATATAGATAGTAGTTAGAATGTGCCATTCTGAATAGTATTTTCTTCTTGCATGTGTTTTTGAGCGAATCCCTTGTCTAATCTGGCTATAGAAAAACTTCTCTTTTTGAATTTAACTGCTGAAATCATATGATTTATAAGATACAGTATAGGCTATCATTTATTGAGATGCACCCATACATCAACCTATTGGCTTATTTCCACACTGCGTTGTTCTTCCAGGTACTGGCCCGTCATTGACAATGCCATCAGGGCAGCGGCATTCGAGAGGCGGGTTAGGATCCGAATGCTGATCAGCTGCTGGCCTTACTCCTTTCCAGGAATGCTCCCCTTCCTTCAGTCACTCGCCTCCTTAGACAGTGTCAAGGATCACATCAGCATTCAAATAGTAAGGAATTAATGCATAGGGATTGTTTTTTTTGTCTATTCATTTTTTTTTGTAATCCAGATTTATTTATGGATTTATTTATTTTTCTAAACCAACCCTGGGTTGAGATAAACAATTTCATTATTTATTTTCTGCTGTTTAGAAGTTCTACATCCTGCCTGTTGGAAACCAGACGAACATTCCCTTTAGTCGAGTCAACCACAACAAATACATGGTGACTGACAAAGCGGCCTACATCGGTGAGTAACTGCCCTTTGCCTTCGAGACTTATTTTGCAGGAGTGCGATCAATTATTAATGGGATCAATGTTATGCAGGCACGTCCAACTGGGATGGTGACTATTTCCTGACCACAGCTGGAGTGGGTCTCGTGATTTCCCAGCATGCACCTCACTCTATATGGAAGATAGAGGCCGTGCAAGCCCAGCTCCAGGCGGTGTTCAACAGGGACTGGTACTCTGAGTTTGCGGTGAACTTCGCTGAACCCGGTCACCGCGCAGACTGTGCACTGTCACCATGAGAATGAGAAAGGATAAAGGCTCTTTATACATAGACAGGTTTAACTGCATCTTAATATCAGCAGTCTACGTAAATTGCTTGAAGATAAATTTGGTGTGTTAGTTTTCTCTTTTCGTTTTACGTTTTTCTTGTATGAACGTACAAATAAACTTTTTTTTTGTATTTTCAGTGAAAGTGTCGATGCCTGGAATAAACATTTTCAGAAAATATGGTGACATTGGATGAAAATGGTTGTCATTATATAGAATTGCTTTCAGTGGACTGTGTAGGTGGCTGTGTGTGTGTGTGTGTGTGTGTGTGTGTGTGTGTGTGTGTGTGTGTGTGTGTGTGTGTGTGTGTGTGTGTGTGTGTGTGTGTATTCGGCTAATTATTTGATATCCAAATGTATTGATTTTACTATTTTCTTGCTTTATGTAGAAAATTACACTGAAACAATGTCTCATTCTTTCATTGTGACGACAAAGCAATTATGCTCCGGGCCACGAGTTGGCGCTGTGGTAAACGAATGCGATGTTGGCGGAAGTAGATGCTTGAGGGGAGGAAGAAAGTAGCACTAGTCGTACGTGTGCATCTATCGAGCTGTTAGCTTTCGGCCACTGAGCTAACGCTACGTCTCGTCAGAGTCGCAAATATGGTGCTACTTGAAAACGACTCGGTAAGCAGCACCGATTTTTTTGGTTGTTATGTATGCGTTATTTGCATTCGGTAAACGCGTACACCCGACACAATTAATAGAAGTCTCATTCGGCAAGCGTCAGTGACATGAAGTGAGCAATGACATGAAGTGAAATGCGGTTTATGTTTTTCAATTTTTTTTTCTGTTTTTAATTGAAAAACATCATCTTAAAGTCACGGCGATACCCGAAAAAAAACTACTTTCGGGAAAATGTTGCAGAGAAGTTATGAAAAACGGGAAATGTTTGTGTAATCTGTTTGCTTCGCCGGTACATTATTGACGATACTGCAAGCCAAGATTAGTAAGCAACAATATTCAATATTCAAGTTTTTTAATCAACCAGCAAGTTCAAATTTGGGAAAACTGTACCATTTCGACATTTCCAGACGATAGGAAATTAACTGCTAATTAATTGTAGGTCGGTTCCTGATTGTTCCCGTCTAATGATTTTTACACGTGGAGACAAACTTCTTAGACCTCAGAATTTAGATTTGTGTATGTATGCGTGTTGTGAGCGAATGCCTGAGTAGTTAATCATTAAAAGCTGATTTGTTGTTTCTTGTAGTTCCTCACAGAACTCACACGTTTGTTCCAGAAGTGCAGATCCTCCGGTAGCGTTGTCATCACTTTGAAAAAATGTAAGTAGGCCTGCTGCTTGCAGTCCAATGTCATTGTATGAATTGTACTCAATACGTGTCATGCCAGCGTGACAAGGGGAAAAAGTGGATGACTACTAGAAATGCTTGAAATGTTTTATGGATTAACAGTTAATTTATATTTGGAAGACGATAGTTCCCTGCATTTTTTCCAGTGGGACAACAGGTCACTGAATCTGAACAAATGGGTTGTCTCCATGCAGCCCTGCAAAGCACTTTGTGGTCATTGGCCCTCTGTATTTTGTCCTCCAGATGACGGGAGGACCAAGCCAGTGCCCAGGAAAGGCCACTCGGAGTCCTTTGAGCCTGCAGACAATAAATGTCTTCTCAGAGCTTCGGATGGCAAGAAGAAAATAAGCACAGTGGTGAGCCTTTTGTTGAATTTGAATACCTTATTGGTGTTTAGTCCTCCTGCTTTACTATGTTATCTCCATTTTCGTCTTGCAGGTGAGCACCAAAGAAGTAATCAAGTTTCAGATGGTACGTTTTGGCAATTTGATTTCTTTTATCGTTAATCGTGGCTTTGATGGTGACTGAGAGATGGCGTAATATCATAGCGGCGGGTGTAGCGCTGCACTAAATTTTCATTCCTGAGCAAAATGTGCCTTTTTATATTTATTTTGCATTAAATCTACGTATGTAGACAATTAACGGCCTTAGGTCAATTAAATGCCACCTGCCGCGATTAAAGGAAGTCCTTGATGTTAAACGACGTGATGTACACTGATGGGAGCAACCACTTGCAGGCGTACTCCAACCTGCTGCGGGCGCACATCGACGGATTGAAAAAGAAAGACAAGAAGAGCAAAAGCAAGAAGACCAAAGCTACCCAGTGAGCAGCAAGCTCAAAGGCCCAGGAACTGATCCCGTTCGAATCTGACACGATGGAAGCGGGTCCCACCACAGTCAGTCTCCCCTCACAATGCGTGCTCGTCCACCCAGTGACCACTTTTATTTTGTGTCGTCGACGACTGTTTTCGTGCCATCTGGGAGGATTTCTTGGAATGCACAAATCGAACTTTGGAGAAGAGCAACACCGTTGGATGTCTTTTTTTTATTTTGGTCAAGTGGCTACACTCACTATTTATGTTCAAATTAGGAGCATCAAAGCAGTCACTTTCTATGTTTGGCTTTTTTTTTTTTTTTTGGAGTGGGTGGGGTGGATGTTTTTAAATGTATGAATTTGCCGCAAGGGGTGCATGGCAATGTTTTGCTAAAATCCTAGTAAATGAGTTTCAAGCAGTTATTTTTGCAATGAAATATGTCAAATGGTTAGGGCCTCCTTCAGCTGCCACAATGGCCCTCTTTCTTTGTCAAACAAAATTTTCTGTCAAAAGCTTCACTTTAATTGAAAATATGAATTTGATTTCAGCCTGCGAGTTTTAATTGCACAGAATCATCTACAAGTTTCAGATGTACTGAAAGGCGCGTTTGGACAGAGAATCCCGAGCGAGCGGGGCCGCGTGCTGTGGCAGTCCTGCAGCGGCATTTAAGTTGACCAATAAAGTGCTGTTTAAAAAAAAAAAAAAAAAAGGTCACTGTTGTGTTTGGGTCCATTCTGCAATCAAAGGGCGAACATGTACACCAAGACTTGGTGAGCCGCTCATAGTGCCGTGTTCCTCTTGTGTCCTCTTTCCTTGGGGGAGGCTGCCGCCTGGTTCTCTCGGTCCTCGTCTGCGTAGCCTTTCTTCATCAGGCGGGTCACGTACTGGAACATAGTCTGGAATTGAGCACACTGTGGTGAGTCCAAATTAAGTCACCCTGTGCTACTTGGAACCGGTTTCAGAATTTTGTCGTCATATGGCACAAGACGTCAGTTACTGCCCGATTTATTGTTTTAGTGTTCATGGCCTGAAAGCGGCTTCCATCCTAATAAAATCTTTCCTGTTATTTGGGCTTTTCCTACTTGACTATCCCTGCATCTTTTGTGTCCACTTTTCAAAATTAACCTGTTTTGTTTCTAAGCTATTCGAAAACAAAACCAAACACCAATTTGTTTTTGGTTTTTTTTTTGTGCTATTTGTAAAACACAATTAAGAGGCCACAAAATTGTGCCAAATCCATGAATGAGAGGAAAGTAGTAGATAGGGCTGCGATAAAACATGCGATATGGGCATTGAATATTACTTCGCTATAAGTTGTGCCTAAACAAATGTTTATCAATTTTTTTTTTCATGAGGCAAAATAAGCAGGCTCAATGTATTTGTAGCTAAATCATTTTAATGACCACAATCTTTATACACGTTTTTAATTTTTTTTTTTTTTTTTTACAGATTGTCCACTTTGGCTGCATTGGTTGGTGTTTGGTGGGTTTTAGACTCTTGATTTATGGGGGCCAAAATCCACCAAAAAATGTTGGTTATGAACCATTATTGCGGGGCTCACACCGAACAATTTTCAGAGTCTCAGACTAAAATCTGAAAGTCAGAAGGACGTTTCAGACTCACTGAGCGCTCACGTCATCTCGACCCTTTGATGTCAGGTGGTGAATCTCCGCTATTTCAGATCAGTCTGGGCCTCATGACAAGATCAGTCTGGGCATTATGACAAGAAGAAAACATGTTTGATATTATGGCAAACCTTTCAGTTTTTGCCGTGACATGAAACATTTTCATTGCTCGGGGAAAAAATGCCAACAGTGGTTGTAGTCTTATAAGTTGTGATCACCTTCCAAGCCTCCTCAAGCTCAGCGGTCCATCTGTCCTTCAAGATGGGCTGCACGGCACTGATGAATTCTGCTCCGACATACTGCCAAGACAATGTGAAACGATGGTGAACGGTCAGGGCCTTAACACTGAGCTACAACTGAAATATTTCCTTCACGAAATTGTAATCAATTATTTATTTTTGCGTCCTCTGTTGGTCGGACCAAAACTGGTTCTAGCCAAGATTGACTAGCAATCTGCACACATCCATCCATTCATTTTCTGATCCGCTTTAACCTCACAAGAAGGGGGTGCTGGAGTCTCCCAGCCATCTTCGGCGGGGACACCCTGAACAGGTTGCGTGTCGTTCGGATGGCACTGAGTTGTTCTCAGCGCCGCAAGTATTTACTTTTGAGAGCTGTACGAAGTACGAAAAAGTTTTGAGAAACGCACAGATTATTTTACAAGTTTCAATTCTGATCTAAGAAATGCACCAAACGAACTGGAAAAAAAAATGTTGAAACTCGACCAGCAGCATTGAATCCTGCCATGTGGCATCGAGACCACCCCTCCGATGGAAAGAAGTCAGGTCTTACGCTGTAGTATTGCGGAGGGGCGTTATAGTGGTAATGGCTTTTTCCCAGCTCCTCCGCCAGAGCCTCCAGTCGCTCCAGTTGGTCCAACCTGGCCACGCTTTTCTCAATAAAAGACATGACTCTGAAAAAGAGGAGAAAAGAGTCATCTTGCCTGATCAACTTGGATCTGAGAGTGAAACGGCAGCTCCGTGGTGGAAGCCTGCTGACATTTCACGCTTGGGCTGCTCCAATGGCGACGTGCCTTTGATTGCGCATCCATTCATTGAGTTCACACTTGCGCGAGTCAAGCCAGCGTGCGTGTGTGTGCACTTGTTTCCGCTGTCTGTCACGCAAGCTTATGCATCTTTATCTCAGCAGGCAATAATTGGCTGCCTCAGACAAACTGGCAAGCCGCTAGAGTGGAACGTTATAATTATTTGACAACTTGTACTGCGCCGCATGCAGCATGACTTCACGTTTCGTCTCATTCACGGAAAAGTGGCGTCTTGAGAATAAGACACGGTTCGAGAGTGACTCTGTAATTGTGATTTCCGCAGAAGTGTTGCTCTTTTTCGAATCCGATGATGAAAAACTAGTTTTGCATCCAAAATATTGTGTTGGAAAGTGTACAGTAATAATTGCAGTGGTTGTTAACTGTTGCTACCCTGGAACCTGCATCCAACCATCCATTTTCAACACCGCTTATCCTGAACAGGGTCGCGTGGAGTTGCTGGGGCCTATCCCAGCTGACTTCGGGCGGAAGGCGGACTACACCCTGAACTGATCGCCAGTCAGTGACAGGGCACACACCGTGGAACCTGCATTTTACTTTTCCCAAGTCACCACCCGCTCTTGTATCAGAAGAAAACAATGTACTTCAATTAGAAGTGCTTTTTCATTATTTTACACATTCATAAACATGACAAAAATTACAACTCATCCCACTGACTCGTTCCTCTTGAAACTGTTTCCTGATCATCTGTGGAATGTTCCGAAAAGTTTTTTTTTCAGCATTTTGAGCATCTTTCCCAGTCTTTTGTTGCCCTTGTCCCAGCTTTTTTGAAACATGTTGCACATAATATTTATTAAAATTAGTCATTACTTGTAACTTTTTTTTTTTTTTAAAGTTCGTCAGTTTGAACATAAAATATGTGGTCTTTGGAGTGTATTCAATTGAATACAGCAAGGAAAGGTTTCAAATCATTTTAGTCTGGTTTTATTTGACACAATGTCGCAACTTCATTGGATTTGGGGACTGTATGGTGAATGAAATTTAGCTTCAGGGTGAACTGACTGTGGTGTCTTCAACAACGAGGCAGACGGACTCGTTTTCTATTATGTATTCTCGACCGGAAGTTGCACACATATCACACACATTCTCACGCATGCGCAGTAGATGGCTGTACAAAGTAGGGGAAGTCTGTGAGTCTTAACAACATACTGTACATATAATCACAGTGGTTAATACACCACACTGACCATGTCACTTACCGTAGTCCGTGTGCTCTGAGTTCGCGGCTGGTCCGCAATCTCTCCAGGTCCTTGACATCTCGGAACAGGAAGAACACGTCCTTGCATTCGGGGTGGGTCTCGAAGAGCCTGTTACCAAGACGACAGCATCAAGCAGACATGGGTGACGCTGTGAGAGGAGCAGCCTGTCATCGTCACTCCTCCGCCTGTCAACAACCCCAATACGCCTTTTGTTGCTCACTTGGACCACAGTCTTCTAGTTTGGCAAACAAAAGGACATTATGCGTCACTTTGTATTCTTCTTTCGCCTTGTTAATCATGAGGGGCTTTCAGACCGCAGGAACCAAATCTGGAACTTCCTGGAATGTACCCTGGTAGTTTGTGAAATCCCCTTGTTCACACACAAAAATATTTCCTGGTCTGGAAGGTTACATCAGGGTCTACCTAAGTACCTCCTAGACATCAGGGTCTTCGTGTACCTAACCGGAACGCTTTGAGGGCCTTGTTGGGTTGTCCCGATTTTTTGCATCGACAGCCTCCGGAAGCTAATTGCTAACTCTACTCGACACTTTACTCGCCGTGCTGTCCTCGCTCGTCGAAACCACCTGCTGGCCATGTGCGTAATTACAGGCAGCTGTCTCTTCTGTGGGACAATCTGTGATGCGTTGATGATTTTCGCGTCTGTTTTGACTCTTGGGCATGACGAATTATAAAAAATGTATGATGAAATAATTTATCGACGTCAAGGGTGGAGGGCTAATATGACAGATTTTTTTTTTCTTGTGTTAGTAAATGTTTCCCATCCATTCTAAACCATTGCCTCAAAGATTGTGCTGCCAGGATGGCATTCCAAATGAGAATACATTTTCAACCGCCTGACCGAGATAAAGGGCAAATAAATAAAAAAGATATCTCATAGATTTAACTCTTTCCAGGTGGCAGCCATTGCCTCTGAACAAGCATCTTCCACCTGCCCTTTATTTAGCCTTCCAAAAGCACACTCCACTGTGATCTGGCTGTGGTTGTTTTATTTGTAAAAAGAGAGAGAGAAAAAAAGAGATTGAATAAAAAGAGAAAAAAGAGAGAAAAAAAAGATTGAAAAAAAGAGAAAAAAGAGAGAATAAAAAGAGACAGAATACAAAGAGAAAAAAGAGAAAAAAAGATAGAATAAAAAGAGAAAACAAGAGAGAGAAAAAAGGAGATAAAAAAAAGTTTTGTTTTGTTTTGTTACTGCCACGGACGGTACAGTTTGCTTCTCCCCTGCTAGATATGTCATCAGTGTAATTTGAATACATTACCCTGAACTGTGACTCGCTGTGTGAACGCCAGGTAGATGGGCCACATACAATTCTTACCAGGAACTCCCGCTATCAGGAACTCAAAGTTCTTGGGCTCCTTGGTCTGAAAGCCACTTTTGCTGCCTGTGTGCTGCCATCCAATCAGAAATCCTTCTTCTCCCCTGCTGTGGTTCTTCATATTAGTCATGCACTGAAAATGCATCACTGACGTGGTGACTGACGATGTATGATGCACACATTCATTGTGTGAGACGGTCACATATGCTCACCGGCCGCATCATCACTATCTAAGATAATAAAAGATTTTGATTGAGACGACCAAAGAGGAAATAATGTCAGAGTATGTTTACTGCTATTTCTACACTACTGGACTGTAGTACTGTATATTTTTTCATGTTGCTTGGAAAAAAAAAAATCTGCTTTGAAGACGCAATTATCCGCAAATGGCTTTTTTTCAGCATTCATCGAGGATGTAAAATGTGTTTACGATTTCTCTGACACACACACACACACACACACACACACACACACACACACACACACACACACTTCAGAGCAGACAATAGCACAAATTGGTCTCTTTAATTTTTATTCACGCTCTTGTCCCTCACCTTGTCATTACACTGGTAACATGCACAAAGCTCCCGCTCTTTTGTGGGTTCGCCCCCTCTCTTGAAAAACGGACTCACTCTTCTTCGCACAATGTGCCCCTGTAAACGCTCACATGGAATTTTAATTGCCGCTGCATATGTTCAAGCATGTGTCTCATCGAAACGCTATAGAAGAAAACATCTTTGCGGAGGGAGACAAAAGTCTCCTTTTGCAATAAAAGTCACGACGAGGCTCCGCGGTAGCCACGAGCGGCTCATCCATTCCCAGGCTAACACGCTCAGGTCACACTGGGGACACATGGCAACAATCGGGCTCCAAGCCAAATGACCTACGACCCCTGTGCTCTACATCCTACAGCTGAGGCCTAAACATCCACCACGTCTTTTCACATTTACGGTACACCATACACGAAGCCATCGCTAGCGCCAGCGTCAACAATAAAGTTGTTGAACTGAACTGTTGCCAGGTAATTTTTAAATTTCTGATTTAGTCCCATTCATTCCGTTAAAGTCTCGTATATTCTGAATAATTATAATTATCTCAAGCACACATCAACTCCTCTTATTCCCTAGTTAAGGAAAGCTTCCAAAAACTATGCGCTACAAAGTTTGTCTTCCCGAACCCATGTCAAAATGTCAGGATCCACTCAAAATCTTACAAACAGCTCAATGGTCAATCACACTAATAAACATTCACTTAATATTTCTTATTATCTTTGTAAATATTTTTCTCCTGCATCATTAGCTTATGCAGGTGGGCCTAATAAAATGGTCGCATGCTTCCTTTCCCATTAAAGTTCCACCCACACCCCCGCACACACACAAATCAATACATTACTGTTGCCATTGATGGTAAACTGCTGTGGAGCTGGAGCTGTGCATTGTTATATATAACGTTATGGTGTGATAAGAGGTGGTGGGGGATGGGGGGGTTGTTATTACCACAGGCTTTTGAGTGATAAGTGGTGCACTGGAGGGTCACCATGATGGCGGATGATGGCTCGGATGCAGTATGTCAGCCAGGGGGGTCAGCACACGATAAAATTGGTCACCAACGGAAGGCAACATTTTGCATGATTCAGAATTTCTGTAGAACATTCCATTATATTAAAGGTCAAGATTCTGTACTTGTTGTCCAAGTGGTTTGAAATTCTTCCTCACAGTTTTGAGGTTCCGGGTTAGAATCTTGAATCAAGAGTTTGCATGTTCTCCCCGTGCTTGCTTTCTCCAAATAGATATTCCAGAAACATGCAGCAAAGGTTCACTTCACTGGAGACTTTAAATCACAGGTGACGAAATCAAGGACTCGGGGGCAGATTTGGCCCATCGCATCACTTCATTGGGGTCATTAAAGCAAATCAAATGTGTATATACAGGTATATTTCAGATGTCAAATTTGAGTCAATTATTGAATATTTTCTGTTGCTAACAAATCACTTCAGCACATTTACCAGTGACACAGAGGATATAGGGGGAGTAAATATTTCCTACGCAAGTCCATATAAGGTGTGCGTCCCTAAATTTCCAACTTGAACCCCTGAAATTTCAGGTGTGGGGCCACTGTGCTCCTAGTTGAAAAAAAGTTAGTGTGCAGCCCTGAAAAGACAGATACTTTTATAATTTGCATTCAATTCAACTCTACATTTGTTCTTTGAATTCAGTTAATATAAATGAAATCTGACGGTATCAAAAGACCTGAGGAGGCTGCATCCATGTGAGTGTGCCCCTGAATGGGTGAACGCTTACTCATCGTATGTGATCTGAATTCTGCAATTTTACGCGCATGCAACAATACCTTAACAAAAGTGTCACCAGCCTTACCTGACAAACACTATGATGCCAACTTTCGCTATGTCGTCCCTGATAACTTTCCACGACTCCTTGATCATGTCAATCTGGTCTTGGCTGGGATGTGCTTCTCCTCCCCTTCCACCAGCATCGCGAGTGCTCTTTTCTCCCAAATCTGCAGTTTCAGCCAAGCCAGATATTGCACAGCCCATTCTTCATAAAAAATAAAATTTGTTTTTTCCCCGCTCCAAAAGTACGAAAAAGAGTTTACAATAAATGATAGCCAGCAGAAGAATATCCGTGCTGTTGCTTGCAGTCATTTGGCGGCGTAGTGCGCGCCTGTAGTTTGGTCCGTGCTGGTTGTCGCTCAATTACAGACAGCCGATATGACAGACGTCAAAATAAAATATACGAAGTGAGAAGAGAACGGAGCGCTTTTACGGTGATGGCTGCTTCGCGCGAACATCCGGTGTCGCTCTAACTACTGTTTGCAAACTTGACGCTCGTCTTTTGAAGGCAATATGGAGTCAAAACTGGGGTTGTCTGGTTCGCGGTGTTGCGCGGCTCACCTGCACGCACACGCGCATGTTTCTATATTTTATGCCGTCCCTATTAGCGTCCAAACTCTCAATACTGTACGTACTTTCTAGTATACAGGGAGTCCTCGGCCTTACGACGTTGTTCCGTTAATACCGCTTGCCGCGTCACTCGCATTTACGCGTATGCGCCGTGTAGCCTATATTCCTTGTCAAGCACTTGTACGCCGCGAATACATTAAAATAAAAAGTAAAACTGTAAATCCGGCGGTAACTGAGTGTACACCTTAAAGTGGTTCCCAGCCGATCGCAGGTTACACATAGACGGCAACCATTCGCGCTCACAAACGCAGACAATTTAAGAGTCTTCTATTAACCTGCCATGCATGTTTTTGGAATGTGAGAGGAAACCAGAGGTATCAAAAGATCTGAGGAGGCTGCATCCATGTGAAAGTGTGCCCGTACCCGGGGAAAATCCACGCTGGCACGGGGAGAACGTGCAAACTCCACACAGGGAGACTGGAGGGGGAAATCGAACCCTGGACCGCTGCACCATGTTGCCCACTGTGTCACCAAGAAACCTCAGGCGTGACATATAACAGTAATGAAACATTATAACAGAGCCGTGTCAAAATGTAATATGTAAATGAGCATATGACAAAATGAACTAGTCAGGCAAAGGGCTATTGTATTCACAACTACAGTATTCCTCCATTTTGTATACGATGCATTCGTACTGATTCATGCATACAGCAGTGGGTGCATTTGTGACCATTACAAAATCGGGTTTTATTCATGCCGAATGCCGTCTTCTCAAATAAAGACGGCTCACACAGATGTGGACTACATACATCACGTAAATACTGTACGCGCATCAGTCCATGACATCAGCGGCCATGCACCATTTCTCTTTTCGTTGCAAATATGGCAAATTTCAAGTAGTCTTTCTGGAATAGCAAGCTTTCCAAAGGAGTTTATACAGTCGCTATTTACATGCCTCCGCTTGCCCCCAAATGCAGCTTCATAAATATTACTCAATTAAAAATAAACATTTGAGGAAAAGAATAAAGCTCCAGTGATGCATGAAAACAGCTGTAATTAGTCAAATGACTGCTGTCACAACAGGATTTTAACATTTACAACCCACGAAAGAAAGTCTTTGGTGCACGGTAAGCTTAGTTGAGGTAATCTTCTTCCCACAGCAACTTGTTTTGCTTTAATAGTGATCGTATTAAAACCCAACAGTGAGTGAGAATTAAACGGAAGCCTATCATCATCATCATAGTACTGATCCTAACGAGGGGTCAATTAACACATTTACATCCAAGGAGATAGGAAAAGTCCCAAATGTACAAATATTGCCACACAGTTTTTTTTTTTCTTTTAAGACCTTGCACGGACCAAGAACATCCCTTCACAAACCAGCACTGGGTGAGTCCAATGTGGACTGCACTGCACAGACAGGGTGCACAAACTCACGGTTAGTGAAGATAAATATTAGCAGTTAACATGTTGACGAGCTGGTGCTCAAGCTCTGGAACTTCTCCCGTAAGCTCCTCACCAGATGACTTTCTGACGTCTTGGCTGAACTCTGAGCAGTTGACTTGCCGGGACATCGTGAGCTGTCCTCCAGTTGCTCGTCTCCTTCTGCGAGGACGCTGCATCGCGCGGCGGTCAGAGACGGCGGACTGCTCTGACAGCAGGTCCGCACGGGCTCCTGCAGGTTCTGCACTTCATGGAGTGGCAGGGATCCAAGCATGTACTCCAGCGAGCCCCACCGACACAGCAGCTTGGACCGGGGCCGAGGCCAGTCTTGTTCCGCCCGCTCCTTGTACCAGGTCTCGGGTTTTGCCACTGAACACTGCGTCAGGTCTTGATGAGAGTCCGTGCGAGAGCAGCAATTGCACTTGACCGGAGAACATTCCGATGTGTCGTTTGAGGAGTCGGTGTCAGGTCTGCTGGGGTTGTATTTGGAGCGCAGCTCTTGGACATCGGGCCAGTGGAAATTCTCCAACTGAGGGCTTTGCGGGTCGGTCAGCGCGCTGCGGGAGCTGGTTGCAGAACTCGGAGTCTGGAGCGGACTTGGTGTATTGACCTCATGGATGACCATCGGTTCACAAGCGGTCAAGGGCAGTTTCAGGTTGGGTTTACCTGCACACATGGTTGAGCACACGAGTTGAGTCTGCTGCCATAAACCGAGCACAGGGAGATGTGCCGGACCGACTTGCAAGTGGGTGAGCTTTTCTTGCAAGTTTTGGACTTGCGTCTTTCAGAAGCAATCATGGTCTACAGAGAAACGGATACAAAAGAATTCCCAAGGCACTAAATATCAACATCATTGAGTGGACAATATATGGCCCAAAAGTGCACAGATGTCTCTTTCAAACTGATGATTGATGAAGAGAAGAAAATAGTAAGGGAGGCACGCTTCAATGTCGAAACGGCAGGAATTTCTGGCAAGTACATGTGACAACAATCTTTTGGCTTTCTCATGAGTTTTTAAAGTGGCCGAGAGTGGAAAGAAGCCCGATCGTAAAGTTTTTCAGAAAAGAACCCTCAAAAAATCGAATCTACCTTTTTTCTTGAGCTTCTCCTCAAGGACAGCGGGCATGTTCTTGAATCCTTGTTGAGTGGAGGGCTCCCGGTTCCTCTGCCAGACCATAGGCCGGTTGTTTTTGATGCGCTGGCTGTACTGCCGTGCCAGTTGGAAGACCTTATTCTTCATCTTGCCCATGTCCTGTAAGATCTGGTCCTCGTCAACGCTGGTTCTGAAGCTAATGAGCCTGGGAAGCTGGACCAGGCTCTTCCCTTGAGTCATGAAGGTTCGAAGCTGCTTGCAGTCTTGAGCGGAGTCCGTCTCTTCCGCGAGTGCATTTGAATCATCGGATGAGGGACTCGTTTCACTCTCTTCTACAATCAGAGATGTTTGCTTTCTGAGTTTACGTTTCGAAGAGTCCAAACACTCAAAGAACGTCGTTTTCTCTCCTGCAGTCTGCTGGACTTCCTCCTCGGACTCCATGTCTTGCCAGACTTTGATCATCTCCGATGACGGTCGGAAGTCTTCATCTGTGGTAGAAGAATCCGTGACACTAGGCGATCTCGTCTTCACTTCCTCTGATCTCTGCGGTTGAGCCTTTGGGTGAATGTCCGCATTTGGACTCTGGTCCAAGCCCGGAAGGTCAAACACGGACCAAGAAGTAGGCCTGCAACGGGAGAGGACTTTCCTGTGGACCGGGACCGCGTGCTGGTCTGGAATATTGTTAAGTTGTCGGCTCAAATGCCTGACGAGACCCGCTGGGATGTAGGAGAGACTTTCCCTGCGCTTGATGCTGAAGTTGGCGTCTTGGTGCTCGGCGTGCTCGTAGTATCTCCTTACCTTGTGGATCAGGAGGAGATCCTGTTTGGAGAGGGTGGACCGACGTTCCCCCTCAGTGAGGGCGGGTTCACGCGCGGACGGCTCGGTCTCAGGGGTCACCTGCGGCTCAGAGGGCGACACGGTGGGCGACTCTTGGCACTTTTCTTCAGAGTCCGTGCAGGTGGAAGGGCTTATGAAGACTTCATTAGGGGTCAAGGGTGAGGAGCAGGCCAGAGAGCCCAGATCCTCAGAGACCAGGCTGTTGCGCCGGGACAGGTCGGTGACAAAGCGTTCGGCGATGACACTCGCTTGATCTAACACGGAACACGGTAGGATGCTCTGATTCCCGGCCACCACCACCACCTCTTCTTCTTCTTCCTCCTCCTCCTCGGAGAGCTCGCTACTCATCGGCGCACTCGTTTCCTCCACTTGAAGACCCGACGAGTCGCTCCCTCCCCCCTCTTCTTCACCGGCTTCTCTCGAGGTCTCAACGGACTCCAGAGTGACGGCCTCTGGCGCTGGGGAGGGGCAGACCGATGACTCGGGCTGTTGATGGACGATGTTTGCTGGAGTGAGACAGTCTGAAGGGAGCAGCTCTTCCAAATGGACCTGAAATATCACAAAATAAAAAGAAATATACCAAAAAAGGGACGCAATTAGACATCGGAAGCTGGAGAAAGACGGAAAGCACTCTGCACTTGCCATTATCTTAATGTGGTCTGGAAGGGTCTGAAAATGGCTTTTCAAGTACAGTCAATATAACACGAGGAGCTGGGATTAAATGTGTGGCGTCTGAAAAGACATCTGAATACGTCTTTGGGAGTGAATGAGTTAAGCAGTCCAATCAAAACTATCTGCAACTTGATGATGCGTTTGCGTTTACATTCAGAAGCCCGACCGACTTCGATGAGGATGACCAAACCTTGTTTTTCGAGGAGTCAACTGCTATTTTCAAGTGCATGCTGTGCAATTTGGAGATAATTCCCGAGAAAATAAGTCTGATGTGCACTCTGCTCAGTAGAGTGAGAGCCCCGCCTCATTTCAGAGCCGCAGTTGGACCTGAAATCTAATCTCAGTGTAGACTGCAGGAGAGCAGGTCCTAATACAATCGCACCACGCGATTTGAACGGGCCTCAGTGAAATGCGGTGCTCCTGCTCAACTCGATGTCCTAGGCTGTCTATTGTAGCAGTGAATGAGCGGGCACTTATTCACCGAGCCAGGTTCTTGCGGTTTTGCTTCAAGGCTGGGGGGTTCTCGGGTCTCCTTTCTGGGCGTGTCGGTCAGCTGAGCGAGATCGCCGAGTTCTTCATCCTGAAAGAGTCATATCAAAATCTTTTTTTAAAATGGAGGCGGTGCTCAGCAGTAGAAACATTTGTTGTCTTGAAATAGCCTTTGAAAAATGTGAAGCCTTTCAAATGAAACGACACATGTTGAGAATCCGCTGCGCTGCAACACTGGAGGTGATTAGGGAAAACCCGGGAGGGGAAAATGTTTCTCAAAGAGCAACCAAATCTTGCGCGATTACGATTGTTGAACATGGTGGCTGCATGAACCTTTGAAGTCAAGCGGGACACAATCGGCCGACGGTTGCGATGCAAATGAAGACACCAATTTAATTTCTGCGCAATTAAGAAACGCAGCATGCTGACACTAGACATGAAGCAGGAGGAAAACAGAAAACCAAGGCAGGCAGACATCGAGCCGTGCAAACTCAGAACAAAACCAGCACGTCGCACCTCGGTGGTTCACAGCGACCAGCACGGGAGCGCTTCAGCCCACCGCAACATGAATACAAACTGACTCATTCATCGTGCATGGCGCGCACGCAGCTGTTAGTGGGATGCGGACGTACAGACAGAGTGGGACGCGGGCCGCCGTGGGCGAAAAGAGGGGTCGAGTGCAGCGGTGAGCAAGCGGAATGGAGCAGGAAACGCGGAAGCCGTGGGTGGCTGGAAACCCTCACCGTTGTGAAGTGAGA